ATATCGTTTTATGATATGAGTGAACGATATAATTATATATAAGATTGTGTTACCAGTATATCGAAAAATCTATTATTGAAAACTTGTATTCAAATTAAAATTTAATAATGCTTTTTATACTTGTAGAATTAAACACGTTAGATACGAGACACACGTGTATTAGCGGGTGTGTATCAACAATGTTATATTATGTGTCTAAGCAACATTTCTCTGTAAATCATACAAGCGTGTGGTTTTACTCGAAAATTAAATTAGTTTTTTTTTGTTATAAAATGGCACACATATACTACTGGTTAATGAAAATTAGGATAATATCCGTGCTGGTTAGTGGTAGGCTCGCAAACCCAGAAATTAAAACATCAGCATCCATATTATAATCATAAGAATTTCAGCATCTATGCATGTCCCACGAGTATGACCAGGCTCCATTTGATTTCCACTTTTCTTTTCAAAGAGAAAGTAAAGTTTATGTCTTTTGTACCCAAAAAAACGAAAAAAAAAAGTTTATGTCTTTTACTTTTTTGTATTTTTTTTTAAAGGATAAGATTTATGTCTCTTATTTTTTGTATTTTAATTTTCTTATTATATGAGAAGTAAGATATATGTTACCCTAATAATTAGGTGTAATTTTTTTTCATATCAATAAAATTCCTATTAAAAAAAAATGTTAATGGCCGCTTAGGAATTAGGTTATCCAATTCATCAAGATAAGAATGAGTACTTAAACACTTAATTAAACTAATTACTAGTGATGAAAGTCATTGCCCAGTGGTCACTTCCACAGCTTTAATTCAATCTTTTTTATGGAATGGGGCCCACCACTAGTATTAGGATAATGCTTGGGTGCTATTAGGAGTCGGACTCATTTTTTTCTTTCATCCATTCATAATTTCATATTCCTGGTTTGGTGGTGGGTCAATTGATTAATTAGTGATTAATTAAAGACAACCACAGGTCGATTATACAAATATTTGTCAACCGTCATTAGAAAAAATAAAAAAGTTTTTTGTCTTGAGAATCCGTCGTGTATGTTTTAAGTATTTTTCTTTGGTTACGTTTGAAATAATCACAAAGATATATACAACGGAAGATTAATTAGAATCTCCCTTAAATCTTATGCTCCTACAGTAATTTTCCTAGCATTACAGTGATGTTAATAAATATATAGTTCAAGTAAATATATGTATGTGTGTGTGTGTATATAACCATTAGATTTGATATTAAATGATATAGATGTGTTTTTAGTGTTTATAATTTCAATTTTTAATATTAAATTCAAGAGTCAGGAATCATGAATTTAAGTAAATAAGAAAATGAGACTAATTGACATACCCTGACCTAAATCGAGACATGCTGGCAGTCACGGGAGGGTGACGTAGCCATGTGCGCCATGCGGAAGTGAAGGTGATAAGATAATGTGGGTAAATAAAAACCGAACTAGCTACTCTACACCAGGTAAGTATATAAATGTGAGTGGAAGTATTACAGTGTAGATATACATAATCAAAGCGTAGGTACCAAAGTGCAATCCAGAGGGCTAAATACTAATTATACAAGATATGAAAGAAAACCCTACATTGATGGATGTCTGTTAGAACCGTCGTAGAGTCCTCATGAGCCACCAACACGAATTATAACTAGAATCTGCAGGGGCTCAAAAACAGAAAATGTGAGTGGGAAAAAACAAAGCTTTTTGAAACCATTTCTCTTTCCAAAAATAATATAACCCCTCATCGTGAAACCCATATAATCTTCCTAGAAAATAATAATACATATGTATATAGAAATCTTGCTCAAGAGTAGTGAAAACCAAGTGTATGCCATGTCAAGTATCTCAGCAATGAAATAAGTAAGTCAGGTGAAATAAATCAATATAAAGTGATATGTCAACTGAAGTCACTTGTATGGCTGAACCTATAGTTCATCTACCAAATCCTGCACACGAGTCGGAACCACCTAATGTGGTATGTACGACAGGCTAGTTGCAAATAAATACGCTCAAGTGCTACGATCATATGAAGGTTGTGCGAAGTATCGCAAGTCACCTACGAGTCGGAACCACCTAAGGTGGTCTGTACGACAGGCTGGCACCTGTCTTGGATCCAAGGTGAGCGTATGGTGCGAGAGGTGAACAATCACGTGAAGGCTAAGCCCTGGCCTCAGGCAGAACACTAACACCGGGGTGCAGGATAATGAACACTAAATGTATCTCAACATAATCATATACACTACAATCGCTATTATCAATATGTACTCACCTGAAGCTTACCTGTGCGTCCGCAGCACCATGCAATAATATGCATATACTAAAATATAATGAAATCGACATGGCATTTAAAACATAATTTCTTTTAAAACCATTAATGGGAAAATGTAAATCATATATACGTTATATATATATAACCAAAAGCCCACTCACTGGTATGTAGCTGAGTCGTAACCCTCAAGTCTCGCCTGGCTACGCTCGTCCTCCGTGAACGTCTCGCCTATATGTGAAACCACTAATTTAACATTAATTTAAGCACATAGTCAAAATAGTATAATTACTTCTCATACGTTGCTCAATTGGAGTGTTTGAATATATCATCGTGGCCTACTCAACACCATGAGCATCCCCAAATTTTTAGAATAATTTTCCGACGTTCCACGCGCCCTCAAGCGCCGGCCACTCGCAGGCACGTGCTTGGCACACGGACGGAATCTTTAACGCCGTTAAGGAATATTCCGTTAAATAGTAGCATATATCAATAACTTTTACCTGACGCCGTTAGTATATTCCGTCAAAGTTGACAGAATATTTTCCTTCCTTATCCGATGGTTCGTCAGAATCCAGCGCCTGCCATCGTTGCATCACCGGAAACTGGAAAATAGTAAAACTTCAATATCTTCTTCGTTTTTCAACCAAATTCCACAAGTTTTATATCAATTTGAAGCCCTGAACTAGTAGAACATGATCTTACCTCTTAGAGGTCCTAAAACCGACGAAAAGTGGTCGGAAAATCCTTCGATATTTCGGCTAAGTCTGCAACTCGTGGAACTGACCTATCTCGACATCCAAATCCTCCCAAAATTTGTTCCCAGGTCTCTATGAAGTAGTTTTAAGACTCCCTTAAGCTTTAAAACTTCATGAAATAACCACAATCACGACGGAGCAATAGAGCACCACGTCGGAGCTCTTAGGTTCTCAGGCTCCCGTGGTTCATTCTTTGATCCAATGGTACGGATGGGTTCGTGAAGTCACCAAAAACACGTTGGTGCAAAGCTCAAGCTCGATCGGTGAAGTTTGAATGGTGTTTGAGAGTTGAAGGCTCGGATTGTACAGACAAGGGAGAAGAGTCGAGAAGAAAGAAGAAGGAGAGAAAGTTTGTACGTGTGGGTGTATGTGTGTGTTACGGGATTGGGCAGAAATAAAAGAGTAGGGCCCTGATTGGGCCATAAGGTTTAGGGCTAACAATCTAAATCAAAACAAACCCACAATTCTAATTGGACCCAAGAAAGTAGGAGATATGATGATTGGTCCATTTCCTTAGCTCGACTACACAATCGTTTATTCGTAACATTTTTGTTACGAACCCAATTCGGCCCTAACTCGCGTCAACTCTCTCGTGATGTCACGTATAATTTACTCACGTCTGCTAAAAAAAAATTTAAAACTATAAACGTACATCCACATCACTACGACTCGAGGGTATAATCATCAATTCCACACATCTGAGGATAAAAATATATATTAATTCGGGACGGGTCGTCACACTAATGCTCTCTCTCTCTATATATTCCCGTTAGTGTGAAGAATCGTCCTGCAATAGCTTAAAATTTGTATTACTACACCTGCTTGATGCCTTGAAGGAGTCGACGAATTTAAAATCTCGTTCGTTGTAATAAGGTGATGGAACTAAAACAAAACAATAAGGATTTTGCTAAAGGATCACAACACTTGGTTTCAAAACACATATTATTTTACAAAAACAGCAACAAATATGAAAGGATAACACTTGGCTATTCAAAAGATAAGTAGGAGTTTATATTCAAAATTGTTCATTGTCAATTTATAAAACTTCATGTTTATGATCATAATTAGTTGTTCCTATTATAAATCACTTTATAAAGATGATTTGATATGAATGGTTCTTCTGATCATCAGCACAAAGATTTATGATTTAAACATGAATTTTAAATTTTATACTTATTTTTGAATAACTAAACATTGTTAATATAAAAATACGAGATTGTAACAAGTAAACACATAATCACACACAGATTTTGCGTGAATTTTGGTGGGAAGAAGACAACAAAGGTTTCACTATTTTCAATTGATTTATTGAATGAAAGTACAAAGTCCACCTGTTTATCAAGCAGGAAGCAGCATACGTAAAACTATTTGAAAATAAAAGTAGAAATTAAAAGCTTAATATTGGGCTATAATCCGAATTAAGCCATGAGGTTCCTAAATGGATAATGGGCTTTCCCTCCCAGACCTATAAATGGACAATTTTGTCGTGCAGAATGGAAAATCATCAATCTGGTCCCTAGTTTTTTTTAAGAGAATCGTTGTATTATTTTTTTTTCTCATTTCGATTTTTTTAAGAGAATCGTTGTATTTTTTTTTTCTTATTTCGATACAAACGATAATGCTACAGGAAGTAATTAAATTTAAGACTTTGAATATTAACGTAAATACTCTCTAATTATTTTAACTACAAACCCAAGAATTATATACGTTATAGTCAATCGGTAGCAAATTTGCTACTGAGACAGATATGTCACGTGAGATGCTAGGGACATCTCCCTAATTCAAAACGAAACCTACTGAGATCAGATTGAACAGAAAATTGCCAAACTAATTGACATATTCATGAATATGTGATTGAGAACAAAAGAAAAACGATAAAACTGAACTAAAGAGCAGACGTTGGTCATTTTCCCTGACTAATTGAATTGAACAGAACAGCTCTATATAAAAAAATATAATTGATATAAACCTGCATGCACTTGATAAATTAGCTTAAACTATATCAGTCAATAGATCCACTGGCCACCGCCTAATCAATTAAGATATATGTCACAAAATCTCCATAATAATATTGATGAGTACTTCAATTTATTTTACAAAAGCAAGCATAAATATTTCAATAGATATATGTAGTTATGTAAACTGAATGAATGATACTTAGTTATAACTTCAGAAGGGGGTGTAAATTTGCATCTGATTCAAGATACGCTCAAAATTGTCGGAAGGCTTGTCGATGGGATGGGTGTGCATTCCTTCGTAAGTGGTCACCACAACGCCTTCGTCCTTGCTTAGGCGTTGGACTTGCTTTTTAACATTGCACCCTTCATACGTGCATCGGTAGTAGCTTCTGCAAATTATTTAGCAAGATCCAGCAGTGTTATTCCATATCCATCAGGACATATCATACAAATACAAAGCAAGCATGCACGCATATGCGTAATCATATGATTCACTTTGAAAGATAAATATCAGTTTGGAACATGCATTATTCTTTAGGCATTGGAATTTGAAATGATGATCTTACACTACTACCTGGTGCAGTTCCCAGAAGATTGAACAGAAGCAAATCTATTAATTAATAGACTGAATATGTAATCCTTCTTAGGAAAACTTGGAGTTCTAGCATATAGTAATGAGCCATGACATGTACATCTCAGATATAATATTACACACAACTTGTATATCTTAGAAAAACTTTGCATGGATCAATAGGTACGCAATCCTAATATTTACATATTTCTTAGGAACACTGTGCATGAATCAAAGGTTTTAATTTGCTCCCAGTTAATTAGGAACACCAAACCCTAGCTAGATCTCATATATCATAAATCTGAATGAATTACATATAGCTTCACTTTTAATTGTACTGAGATATTTTTTGATAAAAATCACGTGTTGGGCTAGTAATGTGAGAAATGTTGTGCTAATCATTTCAATTTTTGTTTTTAATTTACATTTAGAAAGAAAATTGTAAAACAAATATTTGGTTAATAACTATTTTCAATTTTGATTTGGTATTGCAAAATGTGAAAACTAGAGTAAATAAAGGAGAGATATCACCCATTTTTGCTTCCCCCAAAGCCCGATACATTTCTTAGTGGAAAATCAAGTTAGGATATTGGTTTATTCGGAAAAGCCACACGTATTAAGCATGTCTTAAGGATTAAAGGATTATGTATGGTGGACCGTGGAATCTACTAGCTAGCTTGTACTAATATATGCGCCACAAACAAAACAAATCCGAAACACATGGATCAAAATCGCAGTAAGAAAACTAAATGAAGCATCAAATGCACAAGTACGGATCATGAGTATTTAACTATGCACTAAAGCATGGTAGGCACCGAGTTTATAGACTCATTATTTCTTTCGATTCTTTGACTGACTATACAATATATAAAGAAAATAAATTTAACTTTTCTTTGTCACGATTTATGTTATACACCAAAGCATGATAAAAAAATTCACTGGTCATATAGCTAGAAAGATGAAGAAGCAAAAATATAATGAAGGTATCTAGGTAAAAATATATAGCTATATGTATATATATACACCTGGGAAACTTGTTGGCTTTCACAGCTTTTTGGCCGTATTTTCTCCACCGGTAGCCATCGTCAAGTATATCGACCTGACTTCTTGTTTGAAAAGCATATTTCGGCTTTTTCATCTTCTTCTCCCCCTTTTTCTTTTTCCCTGAATCATTATTATTGGCCCGATGAGGATCGACGCTGCTGTGATCAGCTCCAACAATAACATTACTCATGCCTGCATTTGCACTCGGATAATGCTGCTGATAATATTGTTGGTACGGATGACCATCTTTATGAACTAATACTTCATCTGACGATGATCCAACGTGGTTTTCTGTTGTCGTCATCGTCGATTTCAACCCCAAAAATGCATCTGAAGTTTGATCAACACGCCCATCAAAGTTATTCGTGTAAACGTGAGAGCTTCCCACCCGGTGATGATGATCTATATTTGTGGAATTAGGGTTTGGGTAATTAGCTGATGAGGTGCAAGGAAAGAACATTTGATACTTCTCCATGATGGGGTATCTAGGGTTGAACTTGTGGCTAGCTAAAACAAATGAACCTATATAAAGCTAGCTAGAGGCGGCTAAACTATGACCAACAACTTATCTTTAAGTTGCAAGTATATGTTAGAGATATGATAGTGTTAAGTAGACTAAATTTTTAAATTAAGAGTAATGTTAGGGAGGTCAAATTTTTTAAACCAAATTTGCAAACTAATGATGTGGTTATAGATGATTGGATTATTAACTAAGTGTTGATTAACGTGCTTGTTTTTTATTGGTGACACATCATTTAGTTTGCAATTTAGTTTTAAAAAGTTGGTCTCTCTAGCATTACTCTTAAATTAAATTTGCACACTAAATGATATGTCATTAATAGAAAATAAGCACGTAAATCAATGCTAAAGTAATGATTCAATCATTAACAGCCACGTCATTTTGTTTACAAAATTTGGTTTAAAATTTTGGTCTTCATAGCATTACACGTTAGAGAAATGCTAATTGGTATGAAAATTGTGCCAAAAACATGAGATGACAGATAATTCATGAATAATTCCATTTTTAAGAGAATCTCCTTAACATTTTTCTATATGTTTTGATTACCACCAGATGTAAAAAATAAATTAATGGCTAAATAATTCAACAATCTTGAGAGAGATGATGTGCGTATAGAGGGTGAGAACTGAGAAATGTCGTAAAGGGCACGAAACTTGTCCAAGGTAGTAAAGCAGGATTAGGAGAAATTTTTAGTTTTGACGGAAATATAAGTTGTATATCATGTGTTTTAATAGGAATGGTAGGAAATTTTATTTTTTAAGTTATTAACTTTTTAACACACATATCCCATCACTTATTTAGTGACACGTGGTATACCATCCCGTGTATTAGTCACACTGAAAAATCTTTCCAGAATGAGAGCTTCATTCGCGGATGTGATTAGATAAAGATGGGTGATGATGGTAGTGAGGAAGCTGCTGATACTTTGTTCGAATAATGGTGGCGGCTTCATCATTACCATTACGACTATTACGTTGCTTATTTACCTTTTATTAGTTATTTAATTTGGATAAATTACTTAAGGATTGAGGTAAAACGACTTTTATGACATGGGTATATTGTCAATACCGTCCGAATTATACAACATTACATGTACATTTTCTTATATGGTGTCGTGTGATTAGCATAGTTTACTACAATAATATATAATATAATTGTGCCATAAAAATTGCCCTCTTGTCTTAGTGTTCAAAGCAGAATACACAAGCCAATGCGAGTTTAACAAAGTTGGTAGTGATGCATGCTCAGTTCCCTTCGTGCTTGGTAATATTAATAAGAATAATGAAATAGGAGTTTCAACTCAAAATTGTTTGTTGTTGATTCATAAAACTTTCTCTCTATGATCAGAATCCTTCATGTTATAAATTACTCTGTAAATCTCTGCAAAAAAAAAAAAAAAGAATTAAAACTAAGGTTGTTTAGTTTTCGAACTATATAAAAATAGATGAACTGAATTGGTAAAAGTATTAAAAACTGTCTATATATTTGCTACAATCGATTGACTAAACGACCTTATTTTTAATTCATTTTTTGCAAAGATGATCTTTACAAAGTGGTTTATAATATGAACGGTTCTGATCGTAAACACAAAACTCTATAATTCAAACACGAAGAGTTTTGAGTAAAAAATTTTACTTATCTTTGAGTAGCTAAGCATTATTCTATCAATAATACTAGCAGATGGCCACACACACTACGTGTGAACAATTTTATTTTATTTTATTTTTTATTAGAGTAAACTGTCATTTAACCCCCTGAACTATCACGTGAGTTTCAATTTCCCCCCTGAACTATTTTTTTAGCCAATTGACCCCATAAACTATGTTAAAGTGGCCAATTAACCCCCTACCGTTAAGTATCTTTAACTCCATCCAATTTTCTGTTAGAAAGTGTTATGTGTTTGGCACATGACCACCTTTTTACATTTTATGTCTAAATCTTTACAAAGAAAACATATAAAACAAATATTAAAAAAAAAAAAACTTACAAACCCTAAACTTAATCATTCAAAATAATAGAAAAGGTAAGGCTTTTTATATTAACACTCCACAAAATGTTGAATGCACCCCATATTAAAATTTAATATTAAATGACTTATTTACTCTACTATGCAATGACAATTTTGACCTTATTAGGTTTAAAAAAAAAAATTATAAATACACCCCAAATCACTTTTAGCGTATTATTTATCTTCTCAACTATCAAAACCCTCTCATCCTCCATTGTTGAACAAAATCCTAACCAATGAAACTACAAACATGTTGATTGAGAAAAATTGTTTTTGACGAATGAAACACGAAATCGATGTTTCTGAAGCTTCACATGAGGTAAGGCTTCACATTTTTCATTGTTTTAGTGATTTCGATGACATCGATAATTATTTAATCTTGCGTTTGCTGCATTATTTTTCAATATGAACCCTAAAAGATGAATATGAATATGAATATATAAGTTTAAATAATGCAGCAAACACAAGATTAAATAATTATCGATGTCATCGAAATCACTAAAACAATGAAAAATGTGAAGTCTTACCTCATGTGAAGCTTCAAAAACATCGATTTCGTGTTTCATTTGTCAAAAACAATTTTTCTCAATTAACATGTTTGTAATTTCATTGGTTAGGGTTTTGTTCAACAATGGAGGATGAGTGGGTCTGATAGTTGAGAAGATAAATAATACGCTAAAAGTGATTTGGGGTGTATTTATAATTTTTTTTAAAACCTAATAAGGTCAAAATTGTCATTGCATAGTAGAGTAAATAAGTCATTTAATATTAAATTTTAATATGGGGTGCATTCAACATTTTGTGGAGTGTTAATATAAAAAGCCTTACCTTTTCTATTATTTTGAATGATTAAGTTTAGGGTTTGTAAGTTTTTTTTTTTTTTAATATTTGTTTTATATGTTTTCTTTGTAAAGATTTAGACATAAAATGTAAAAAGGTGGTCATGTGCCAAGCACATGACACTTTCTAACAGAAAATTGGATGGAGTTAAAGATACTTAACAGTAGGGGGTTAATTGGCCACTTTAACATAGTTTAGGGGGTCAATTGGCTAAAAAAATAGTTCAAGGGGGAAATTGAAACTCACGTGATAGTTCAGGGGGTTAAATGACAGTTTACTCTTTTTTATTATGAAGTGGGATTAGTTTTTAAAATTCTTAAAAAAAAAAAAATCTGTTATGATAATGATGAGTGGTTTCTTCTAAGACGGGAATACTTTTTATTTTATTTTAAATTTTTAAATAGGGCATGTTATACTAACCTGACTGTGAGGTTGTTATAAAAAAAAGCAAAATTTATGTTCATATAATTACTAAATTGCTCATATTTTTTAATTGAGTTCAGTTTTGGTGAGGGGGTTAAAATGATAATTTCTTAAAAGTTTTAGTTGACAACCAAAATTTTATTAATAGGTAGTGTAGATCTACATATATCACACACAATTGGTAAAAGTTAAAGCGTAGACTAACAGCAGTTGCCTTTGAACTGGAGTAAGTTCAATTGGATCTTGCATAACATGGACTATACGTCGCGCGTCCAACATGGACTAAATTTAATAATAATATAATCCTTAATTAATTAACTTTGATCGAATCATGAAAGGTAATTTTAGGGCTGGATTCATGGTTTTCTAGTGCATAATATAGAGGGTTATATATATATATATATATGTGTGTGTGTGTGTGTTCGCGCGCGCGCATACAGAATCCTCTTTGCGAAGGTCCCACGAAGTAGCTAGTTTAGTATAAATATGTAAAATGTTGTTCATTATAACATTTCATTTTTTTTAAAGCTCGACGGTATGAGGTGAATTTTTATTCATTAAAAAAAATACACCTAGTCAAACCTTTATGTCATACATAATGCAGCATTCATATATATTTTTTAAAATTTATTTATCATGCGCATTTTAAGAACAAACACCTATATTTTAATGGTAGCCAGCATTCAGATCTTCTAGAATAGTATTTTCATAACTAATTTTTTTTTGTATATCCGCACCTGTACAAGGTGAGCCCCTAAAAAAAATTGATAATAGAATGCCCTTGTGTGTACCAAGATTAAACATTTGTGATATAACTTATAATTACATCACCAAATGACATATGTTCGATATAAAATCTTTTTAATTTTTATTTCTTAATTACAAGTGATATTAGTATATTAATTAATCTAGATTAAAAAGAATTTGAATCTAGGTTAAGTGAAGTGAATAGTTAGATTCTATTCATGAAAACAATCCGCCACTAGCTTTGCATTCTTGAATATTTTATAGACTAAACAAAAACTCAAACTCTGGAGTTTAGAACCAAATTTTAAAACAGAAACACTAATCTCGTTCAGACATTCACCGGTATATCGAAAGCTGATTAGTTTGGTCTAAAGATAGAGTCACAAATACAAAGACGTGTTTGAATTCGGAAAAAATGGGTTCACTTGATTGGACCTCTCCGCGCAGCCCTCCTTAACAACAAATATGAAAAGCAAACCTTAAATTATTTGGAATTTTTCTTCAAAAGATGTTGAATACGGTCAAATTCCACACATGTTAAGGTACAATCATGCATACGAGCCCTTGTCCTTGATTTTTGTTTCCAACACATATTTTTCCTCAGTTTTTTAGTTAAATTGATCATTGAGAATGTTATAATTCATCATTTTAGTTTGAGATTTCAGATTGATATAAATGGTTCCTGGATTGTCCACCACCGATTATTTTGGTTATTTTGCGATAAATTTCAATTAAATTGAAGGTATTTTTGTCAAATCAACCATTCTCATTGAACTGGTGGTTTCTTCAATTTAACGGAGAAATTTTCATAAAATAATTAATAGTGAACAATCTAAGAGACCACTTCTCTCGATTTTAAATTTGAAAACCAAAATAAGAAGTTATGACAATCTTAAAGACCATTTTGGCTAAAAGCCTTTTTCGTCATCTTAAAGGAATCCGGATTCTTGCCGGATACTCTTTGTGAATCCGTGAATCATGTCCGTTCATTGTACATCGTGCTGTCAAAAATCATTTTAAATATTTTTATTCAAAATTAAACACAAACAGTATCTGACAAAAATTAACTGCACGAACGATGAACGGATACAATTTATAGATCCCCATGATCCTCACCAAAAGAATCTAGAGAGGATCCTGTTGGATTTTAAAGGTCATGTTTGCTAGCAACTTTCTCTTCAACCCAGGCTCAAACTCTCCCCTCTCCACAATTTAGATGAAATTATATATCGTTTGTAAAAACTCATGTTTGTAAGTGTTTCTCTGTTTATTCAAGTACTTTGATAATTCGAATTGACAATGAATGACGGTAATACACCAGAAAGGCAGTTGTAAATTCAACAATCTGTGACAAAAAGGTAGGCACCCTAATAATTTCCAACACAGACGCAGAGAAAATGCAGTCACCTACTTTCCATCCAAGCTCGTTTCTTCATGTCTTCAAACGTCGAGATAACCAGATGACAGAATCTTAACGGAACTTTTAACCTCTGCAGCTCTGCTCACAGCTTTAGCATGAAAAGAGGACCAGTCCATTTGAACTTATTTCCATCCCAAAACTAAATGGTTGTTTACACATTCTCATCACTGATCATGAAACCACAGCGAAAGCAGTCATCTTTGAGATTTTGAGCCTCAGAATGCTTCAAAATTAACCACCTTTATGATCCACAAGTAACAGACTCCATGTGAATATATGGCTAATCCACCTAAGATAAGACCTAAGTAATGGCCAGGGAAAAAAAGGGGGAGAAGAATCACATAAAAGAACGCATCCGAGGTCTCGTTAGAGACTGTGCCCCATCCACAAATATTGTTGTGCCTGTCATGTACCGTGACCCATCGCTGATTAAATATATGACAGTTGAAGCCAGATCGTTTTTAACATCAAGCCATCTCCCCAATGGAGCTGCCTCCATCACCTGCTTCTTCGCTCTCTCTATTCCCACGGAAATTGGAAATTCATCTTGTAGATGCAAACCACGGGCAATAGCATTGACCCTAATCTGGTATCGTCCAATCTCCAAGGCTGACGTCTGAAAATAGCAACGGGAGAAATTTTCCGAATATTCAACTAAAATGAAACATAAAAAGTAAAAGCAGTGTACTATGAGTTGAGATATGCAACAAGCAGTTCAAAATGCACCAAAGTTTTGGAGGTATGCAACAGAGGCATCCTAAATTGAACTTACAACCTCAAAATACAATAACAACGTTGTAAAAACTGTTCAATGCTTATGCCTTTGGTGTGTAAACTGTAATGTTGTATTAGGAGATGCAAAAACAACGACACCTTACAAGGTTGTCCCAATGATGATACACCTAAAAGTGTAGAACTGATGTGAAGAACAAAGATTGAAGTTCAAGTACTTCAAAAGCCCTACAGTCTACAAAGTACTAGCAGAAGAGACTGATCAAAATTTTACGACTATGCTTGCAAACTCAATGAGATTTCTCCTCATCGATGTGGCAACTTATATTTCTCCACTTTTACCCTATTCTATCTCTCTTGAATTGACCCAACACCATCCAACACATAAGCAATTGTTCTGTTAGCTATCCATCCCACAGTAAGACGTGATAAAAATCAATCATGATCATGAGACATCTCAGTGTATCTCCTTAAAAATTAATTTGATTCTGGTTATGTCGAGCCACCTAATGCGAGATCAAGCACATAAAACCCTGTAAAACCAAGGTTGCAAATTTGGTTTTCGTATACAGATATGAATGGTTGGGATAGTTTTGACTCCTAACTGATACTATAAAAGTTCATTTTCCAAATTACTCAAAAAACATATGCAGCAGCAGTTATATCAGAGTGTATGTACACGAACGAATCCAATAAACATACCCTAGCTAACTGCTGAAGGCCTGCCGAACATGCACTATAAGCAGCAGCTCCTGGATAAAGCCCTCTTTCGGCTCCAATTATCGAGGTCAAGAACACAATTGAACCTCCTGACTTGTGATCTCGCATTCTTCTGCCAACAGCGTTTAACAGAAACCACGCAGACATAAAGTTAATCTTCATTATCTTTTTGAATTCACCTTCAGGTAATTGTAGCTGGTCTTGCATTTTTCCTGTTCAAAAAACCAGAAATGGTCGCTCTGCTTAGGTTCAATTAAACTGCAACAAACTTTACATATGCACATAACAAAAAGGAGTGCTAAAAACGAGATGGCGAATAACACCCGTATATAAAAACATTTGTTAAACATGTTTTCACACGGGATCAACAGATTTCCAAGAAAAATTTGAACATCTTCCTAAAAAAAGTTACTGTCATGTTTGTCAAATTGACAAAAGGTCAATTCCACATCAGCATTTATTGCTGTACTATATACTATTACTGTTGACCATGGTCACACCAAGATCCACAAGCTAAACAACCAATCAGATATATATATATATATTTTTTTATAATAATAATATTTCCAAACTATACCCAAGGGAGCCACCCTGAATCCAAAAGATGAATAAAGACGCCAAATTGTGACGACTTCTTAGTTCTTATTAGAACATTACAGGAATCTGAGTCCCAAGTATTACTCCTCGCCTCGTTTGGTACACATTATTGATTTAGATTAGATAACTCGCTAAATTCAATGGACTTTGAAAGTAAAATCATCTTTCAAATTATCTCTGGGCTAAAAAAGTTGGATTAGAGCAGTCATGAAGGAAACTTATACCTTCGTAAGTATAGCAATGCACAAAGGCATCCAAATTGCCCAAGATGTTGCATGCCTTCTCCACCGCCTCATCAAAAGCTCCCTCCCTCTCGTCCTCCATGTCCACGTCCACCACCTCCACCGGCGCCACCGCACCTTCCAGTGAGCCCGTTATTTTCTGCACAATACCCCGTAGGCAGCTCTCCTTCCCCATCAACACCAACCTGCTTATTCATAACACAAACAAACAAACAAACCAAAAAATCAAATCTTTAATACACAGAACAGAATAAATCTCAAAACCCATTTGTCAGATTAATCACAAAATGCACCCAAATGGAATCCGTCCCAGAAAACCCGAAATTCAAAATTTCAAATTTGATTCAACCCATGGAGATATAATCACCTGCAGCCGCGTTGGGCCAGAGAGAAGGCGATGCTCTGTGAAATATCGTCACCATTGGAGGTGAGCAGGACTTTCTTAGCAGGAGGACTCCCCATTTGTTGGCTGATATAATTAAGGATGAGGGTGCCGACTCTCTTATATACTAAACTGGATTGAATTAACAAAAGGTTGGAGTAAACTGAAAATAATTAAAAAAAGTTTGGAGCTGACTGAAATGATTAAAAAAGGTTGGTGTGTAATAAGAAGATGTGAAAAACGAGCGAGTTAGATTCTTGGAGCGCGCTGACGGCGAGGAAGAAGAGGGATTAAATATTTAATCTTTTTTCTGCAGTAATTTGAGCTGCAGTGCAGATTTATATCCGAATCAATTCGTGACGCTCGATGCTTGAGTAATTGTCAGGTTCAAGACCGACCCGGTGAGAGACCCGTAGATTGTGATGGTATTGGCCACACGCAATGTAGGGTTAAAAACCGTCTCGGTACTACCCACTTATATTACGACACATAATATATTAATTTGACATTTTTTATTTTTTGACAGAATAGTAATTTTTCATATGTGGCTGTATATGGTTGACTAATTAACTTCTTCTGAGTACAAAAAAATATGTAATGAATAACACTTTATAAAGTTTTAACAAAGACAAAAACAATGGAGCGATAACTGTATTATAAATATATTGTATGTGGATGCGGTGATAATATTGTAATTAAATAGAAGTTTGATGACACCGACAACTATTTATTCACAAATTACCTGAAACTATGTTTTCATAAATATTCGCTCCAAAACCATATCGTTCATGGTGTATCTTCGTTAGGGATAAAATCATCAAATAAACATCATTGAGTGAATATGGGATGAAAACCCTAATAATACCGTACCAAAATATGTAAGGTTCGTACCTAATATTCATGAATAAATGAGTCAATATGTGAGAAATTTTAAATTCAAATTTTAAAAATGACGAATTTACAACAAATTTATTCTCATACCTCTTGGCGTAAATCAATAAAGGAATGAAGGTAAATCATTACCTAATCAATAGATAACAACACTTAGCTTATTGATTCCATTTTTTTTTTTTTGTGGAGAACGATTGTTTCCATTCTTCGGTCTATATCACCTAATGTTTTGTTGGTCAAATATTTCTTTTCTCCATGCACCGCAAATACAAATTTCCAATCAAATTTAGACACGTGGCGAAGTGGGATTTTGTGGTGGTAAGTTCGTGGTGTTTGTTTGGTGATGGTGGTGGTTGTGAGTCTTGTGACCGGACTGGGTTTCAAACAGTCGTAAGATGTATGGAAGTTGCACTGAAACTTTTTGTGAAGGCTTGTTGAATATGACCTTGACATTTTGACCCAACTGACCCAAGAATCAGACGGCTTTCGGTCAAACGATAGCATTGGCAAATTACTAGGTAAGTACTAAATAGCAACAATTTATACGTAAATTTCTCTCTTGATTTTGACTCAAACACTATTTAATTTGGTGACGTCCAATTAAATTTCGTCTTAGCAAAAGAGGTTATGAATTCAACTCTTATATTATGAAAAGGAACTCAAATCTTATGAAAGATAGTGGCTGTACGAATAGAAAAGAGTGGACTTCTTTAGCACAAATACATGAGATTTTTGGCGAAAATGATAAAATTTTCAATATTATTGTCAGAGGGTCATATATAATACCACTAATTCGTGTGTTATAATATAAATTAATGCACATGATTGATACGACACTGTTGGACCTAAAATTACATTATCAGCCCGTGCAATCAAGGTCGTTGAGTGAGCATAGCTCCCAACTGTTGGATGAAAAAGTGAAGATAATTTTGTTATTGATAAAAGGATAATATTATGATTTTTATCATAATAATTATATTTTAATATGAATTATCTTGGCATATTTTAAAACATGATATATAGGATAAATATTATCAGGGCCGGTCCAGAGATTTTTGAGGCCCGGAGCGACGTAAAAAAAAGTGCCCTAACTTCATATAAGAAAATTATTTATTTTCACACATAAGACATCGAAAAAATTATACTTAGAAAAATACTTCAAACTCAATAATTTAGAAACACAGAAAGACTAATTAATTTTGTATTGAGAGAGGGAAACAAAAATATTTCGGGCTTACAAGTAGATAGATGATGAGTTTTGTTTTCCATCTGAACTTTGAATGTGTTTTTGAATAAATCGTGAGGTGTTTTTTTCTTATTTACTAACCTTGTCAATATGGGACTAAAAAATAATGATGTTTATTATTAATGAATGGGCACTAAATTAAACATTTTGATGACATATCATATAATTTGCAAATTTGGTCTACGTATTATTCTTTGTTGAAGATTAGACTTGAATTAAAAAGAATATTTAAAAATAACAACCCACATAGCTACTAGATAGTAACTAAAAATAAATTACCAACCAAACAAAAATTTGTAAAAATTGAAAAGAATAAACATGCACATAGCATTTCGAACTTATGACCTCTTGTTAATTTTAAACAACAAAAATCATTGTTTCTAATTAAACTTCTTGATCCTTTAACCAAATTTTCTAAATTTATACTCTTATAAAAAGAAATTTGTAAAAAAAGGAAAGTAAATAAGCACACATGGTGTTTTGAACCCAAGACTCCTTATTATTTTCAAATGACAAACCACCACTTCTAGTTAAATTTCTGTGTCTTTGAATCAAATTTTATAAATTTATACTCTTATAAAAACATATATAAATATACCACCCTAATAATTTTGATGCCCCTAATTTTTTTGGGCCTTGGACGGTTGCCCCGCCTGCACTGGGCCTGGGCCGGCCCTGAATATTATATCCCCAAGTAAGCGGTGTAGTTCGAATGAGATTGGGGTTCTTGTCATCGAATTGGAGCAGCATGGATTTGATCAGAATTGTTAGGATGCATGATCTTCATGCATGCATGGGATAATGATGAAGTAAAATTAATGTGATGTGATAATGACAAGTGAGGTGATATTGCAATCTGCTTGCAATTAGCTTTGCATGTTGAAGCATGTGGAATTAGATATCAAGGCTGGATGAGTTGTTTTAATATTAATGGAAGGCCACGTTATTGAGCTCGACATATGCATTGAATTTCTATCAAAAAATTTAAGTTCACAAGGAGATCAAAATGGATTTGGTTTGGTCACTGGTGGTATATCAAGAATATTTCGATAGCATCACAGAGAGACGGGTGCAATTTGGAAAACGTCTTGGCAGGTCGCAGCTAAAGAGTATGAATGAGACCTCATTGCTATAAATATAAGACGATGTTGCCGGTTACTTTCATAGTGTATTTTTTTCGCCAACACATTTTCAGTTTAGATAAACAGCACTGTGAAGGCAACTGGCAACATCTTCAATTTGGATAAACAACACTGGAGCCGTGAAGCCATAGAATCAGCCAATCAAGGATCACCTTCAGTTTAGATAAACAACACTGCTTCTCGACCGATTGGTTATTTATCCAAATCTCGGTCGACAAGGATTTTCGAGTCCTTGTTGGTAGAGGTCATCTTACCAGCATTCTTGGCGTAGTGAGGTGTTACAGGTTACTACGTTTGGCACATTGAAAGCCGAATTTGATATTGAACTTCGCATAACTAGCAGCCTTGTCTTCATGCTCTAGAACTCGAAGGCCGAGACATGTTCATTTCTCGACCACAGTCGTAAGATCAAGAAGTTAGCAGCGCAACACATTCTACTCCCTGGTCGAGCTCGGTCGACGAGTTGGCACGCCCTGCACACAACTGAATGACGTAATTAGCTTATTAATTACTTGGTCTATATGCCACGTAGGTTTAGTAGTTTTTAGGATCAACAGACACATAACTAGAATATAGTATTAGTACATAAATTCATGTGCTATTACACAAGTTAATAGATAATAATTTGGGGCTCGTTTGGAAGTACCTTTAAAATAACTAAAAACACATTTGAGAAAATATTTCTAAATTCCAAAAACATTTAAAGTGCTTCCTACAAGAAACATCAGTGATGTACTTATTGTAGGAAGCACTTTAATTTTTTTTTCTCTCCATAATTTAGTTGCATTTTTACTAGAAATTAGTTTCAAAAATATTTTCACAAAAATCAATTTCAATCATATAAAAAATAGTTCCAAACAAACCTATGATGAGATGTTAGGTCATACTAAAAAAACTCTACATAAAAAAAGGCTAGACAAAAGAAGATTTTTAATTTCCGGCAAATTCAAGCCAATTGGAGGAAAAAGAAGAAAACAAAGGATTTGACATGACCTAATTGACATATAACTAAACAATATTTGAAATTGACATTACATTACATTAATTAGGACAATATTTTTGTTCAGAATTCACATTCATGTTTTTGTTTTTTTGAGTCCAATCGTTCACATTGATACGCGTTTGTATGCAAGCATGCTTGTTGCCCAGCTACTTCTACGTATGCAATATTAGCATCACCTATCAGAAAAAGAGAGTGAAACATGAAAGGCTAGGTCAAACAAAAAGAGTGACAACCATCCGTTTCTTGTTTTCTATCACTCCATTTTTATTTTCAGTTGCCTAACCACTACCCCTTTTAATTTTTTTTTAATACAAGTGGTTGTTATATTAATTCATCTACACTATAATTAAGAAGAAAAATTCAATTTGAATATAGTAAAAGAGCGCATTGTTATAATTGATCCGTTTAACACATGTTACCATTGTGAATAATACTGACTTCACTACAATTGTGAAAAAAATTCTACTTTAAGCTCTTTGCAGTGAATGTCTGAAACTTTGTGGTTATGACCATAACTAGTCATATTATAAATTATTACATCTTTGTAAAAAAAAAATTATGAAATTAGATAATTTAGTTCCAGTTAATTTTACTATAAATCATTGTACATGGTGATTTAAGAATGATTTTAATCATGAAAAAGAAGCGTTATGAGTCGACGATGAAGTGTTTCGAAAATGAATTAATTCAGAAATTTGTAAACCAAGCATTGTTGATTGATTATTTGTCAATTGCCTTGGATTGAAAGGCCTTTTTTTAAAGTTTCGTCGATGTAAACGATTAAATTATCATCAACAAGTGCGGGCTGGTGTCAGGTTAGTGAGAAGCAAATAAATAATTGGAAAATGGTACCATACCTGCATTTTTTTAATTTTGAACTTACCCACATTTAAATGCGGGTAAATGTGGGACAATACCAACATTTAAATAATGTGCATTCAAATCAAGATGGTTCTAGACTTCCGAAGTCACTCGTGTTTAAAAAAAAAATACAGATGTGAATGTTTTTCGAGAACTTTTTAAAGGTTTAGTATAGATTTTTTTTTGTCCAGCAAATATTTGGTGTAGTTCCTGCTAAGCATATGATATGTTTTGACATCATTCAACAGGTTGCTTCAAAAACACTTGATGAATTCTCTCGATGACACTTATCAAATTTCTGCTCTTATCTATAATTCCAAACTCAAACTTAAGGGTACATTATACAAAATAAAAACTAATTAATTTAGAAATATATAGATAGCAACTCACGAATTGTGAAGCTCCTGTGAGACTCCTCGAATTTAGTGAATGATCGAATCTCCATAATCATAAATAATTTAAATAAAATATGCTATTGTGAAAAAAAAAAAAAAATTCAGATATCCAAACTCTCAAAGACCACAAATTCGGAACAGTTTTTTTTTTCCCTTTTAATTTCTCTTTTTTTTACTAAAAAAAGATAAATAATTGAACGGTTACAATTAAGTTATGTTAATATTTTATATTAATTTTTTATAGATATAAAAAGATAAAGGAATTGGATTCGTTCCGAACTTTAGTATCTAGAGCTTAGGAATCAATTTATCTAGGCCGCACAAATTCAATCCAACGGTTCTCATTAACTTATTTTTCTAGCCATCACACAAAATCAACGGTTCTGATTTCTTTTACACACCAATCTTCAGATAATTTGATCTCTAGATTTTAGACGCTAAGGTTCGGAGCGGATCCAATTCTAAGGGTAAAAAACAAAATGTGAGAGGAAGAAAGAGAAGGTGATAGGAACAGGAGGAAGGATTCCTACTTCCACAAATCCACCTACCCAAAACGCTTCAGAGCGCAAATCCAACGGTATTGTGCTGCATTTGTGTTCGACTAAATTTGACAAACCCCACAACCCTCCCCTGTCCACTCTCGCAAACACATGGCGAGCTCCTCCGTCGTCGCCTTCAACCCCCTCACAGGGCGGAGAGCGCGCCAACGAGCAGCCGGATTCCCGCCCAAATCACGTCCAAGGCAAGTATCAAGTCCAAATTTTGGGAGTGTGAATTTCCGAAAACCCCAATCTGTAAAATTCAAATGCGGCTACTCCAGCTTCGAAGTAAGTTCATCTTACCACCCAAATTCACAATCCCTAAAGCGTAATTTGTTACTTGTTCTGATCAGTCAAGTATTCAATCTGAACTTGAAGGTTAGCAATGTCAGCTACCAACCGCCGGGGACTGAGCTCAGCCTCCTCAGTGATGTTAGCTTTTCGCTTCCGGAGAAAAGGTACAAATCTATGGCCTGGTAATCAATTATTAAGTGATTTTTTTTCTTCATTTTTATAATTAATTTCAGTATTTTGTGGGAATCTATGTGATGCGTGGAGCAGATTTTGCAGTGTGAGGCTTAATTTGTGCATTTTGATGTGGCAGCTTTGGCTTAATTTTTGGGCGGAGCGGTAGCGGAAAGACTACTCTTGTGCAGGTTGTGTGTTGATGTTATGTAATGTTCATCTTCTTTTTTAAGCAGTGTATTGTATATGAATTGATTTTCTTTCCCTCTTCCAGCTTCTTGCAGGGATGAGCAAACCAACTTCAGGTTCAATTTACATTCAAAAATATGGAAATGATGGCAACCCAGTTCAGTCTCCCGAACCCTTATCAGCCGGAAGAGTTGGCATTGTGTTTCAGTTTCCGGAGAGGTATTGAATATTAGTTACGAAACTAAAAAATTGTTTCCTGTTTCAATTAATCATGATACGAGTTCATAATTACAAAATTGTGCTCCCATATGGGCCATATCCCTGATTGTTTGTGTCATGTCTGTTCATTTACAATTTTTTTAGTGTTTGATAATATGTTATGTTCCTTTTCAAGCTAGGTATTTTGTGGCAGATAATGTGCTTGATGAAGTTACATTTGGGTGGCCAAGGCAAAAGGGTGATCTTCAAATGAAGGAGCATCTTGCTCTGAGACTCCAAAGAGCAATCAATTGGGTACTTGTGCCCTTTCTTAGCATGAACACGTTTTCTTCTACTTATTATGACATTTTTTTTCCATTGATGCTCATTATGATTTGATTATTCTAAAAAAGAATTCATTAGTTTAACTGATTGCGTAGGTTGGTTTAAATGGCATCTCATTGGATAGAGATCCTCATTCCCTAAGTGGTGGCTACAAACGTCGGCTTGCCTTGGCAATTCAACTAGTAAGAACTTAGATGTAAACACAAATGCATACACCAAAATGACAGTATAATATATATTTGATAACACTTCAACTATGTGCTTTGATAAAGTTCAGTCTTATAAATCTGGTTATTGCTTTGGCATGAAATCACTCATACATGTCAATTGACCTCAATCTCCAGGTGCAAGTCCCTGATTTATTGATACTGGATGAACCTCTTGCCGGTCTTGGTATGGAGATGAATTTAGTTCGTTTGGTTCCTCTTCATTATTTGTCTTCTCATTTGGTTCTTCCTAGCAAGTCGAACTAATGTATAAATACTTTTTAAATAATCAGGCATTAAGAATGCCAATTATGCTTTACTTGGGAAACATTTTTACTCTTCAAAATAGACTTAAGCCAAAGTTCCAGTTGTGCTCTGGCTTCTGGCTTCAAAACTTAGGTTTCTAGGGTTTATCTGGCAAACCATACTGTTTGTTTCTTCTTCGTTTTCAAATTGTTTAATTTGGTATTTGTTTTTACATTTATCTTTTTTTTTTTTTCTTTTTCTGCTGCTGTTTAGATAACTTTTATTTGATCAGATTGGAAGGCACGTGCAGATGTTGTGAAGCTTCTCAAGCATCTAAAGAAAGAATTGACTATACTTGTTGTCAGCCATGATCTCAAGTATGTCTTTTGATTACACTGTTGTAACGTTTCATTCTCTATGGTCTTTCTTTGTACATTATTTATTGTTGTTCACTTGTTATATTATCATTATCACTTGGTGCATTGCCTTAATGTTTCATTGTTTTTCTTTCCACATTCTTTACTAGTGCTACCCATAATGTATGGACCCATGTGTTTTCATTTTAACAAGGACATGAGATGATGGATGTGGCTCTGTCAAGTTGAGAAAGTTTCTGCATCTAACACCTAATAATTTTGTGTCAAAAAATGAGGTATGAGATGTGGCAACTTTATTAACTTTGTGAAGGACATTTCTGTCCAGAACTTGAAGAAAAAGTGTGAGCCTGGCATCAAAGTTATAAAACCAGAGAAAATAGAGTGTCAGAATCATAATGTGTTCTATTAGTATTTGATGAGCAACGTGGATATAATTGTAATTGAAAGCCTGTGGAGTTATTTCAAATTACATTTACAATGCAATATGCTCTTTAAGTTTCCATAACTTGATTATTGTTGCAAATTGAAATGACATACCGAGTCAGTTTAAAGTTGAGTGTATTGGGTGCTGAAGTTTATCATATTATCAAAAAACTGGTAGTAGTTTCCTTGAAACTTGTATTATCTACCACCTAGATTCATTACTACTTGTCAAAAGTAGTTATAAATGAATTACCTTATCTGGTCTCATGTTATACGCATTTTGTGTTCTCTTTCAGGGAGTTAGCAGCTATAGTGGATCGTTCTTGGAGGATGGAGATGGGTGGGGTTCTTAGGGAAGAGCCCCTACCCGTTTAATTTCAGCAATATGCTGCTGCCTCTTGATAAACATCGTCTGCTGTGAGGTTTTTATCTTTACTGATATTTACTTGTAACATATTAATCTTTGACATGGATTGTTTAGGAATAGGAAAAATATGCTTAAAAAATGAAAGTGGAATGCATGAAATAGCACGCACTTGGGTAGAGATTTTTTCATTTTCAGTTCTTTTCCTGGATAGTGGGTGCTTTGATGACCAATTGTGAAAGCATGGTGTGATATATGTGCCATGTCTATATTTGGGTCACAGGAAGGGAAAGAAAACCCATTTTTCTTTCATTGGCACATTGATGCAGCTTTCACTGATGTCATTGGTGCATCTTTCGCTTTATTTTCTCTGTTATTTAAGTATATAAACCTTGCGTGCAGGTACAGTAAATAGCTATAGTGTTTGGATTCAAGTCTAAGCATCTTCTGGATGGAGGAGGCAGCAGGACAAGGTTGATGGCCCTGAATATTAGCATCTCATGCCTTCATGAGCATCTCTGGAAGTTAATTGATTAGGAAAGGGTAAAGCTGCTGTAGGCTTAGAGACAGAGTCATTAGCCATGCACGCGTACATCTTCGATTGGACCTTTTTACAAGTGGGCTCGATCATTCCACAACGCAAACGAAGGACTGAAGAGAAAGTGAAGAGTCCATACAGAAAATATATTCATAGTTTGTGCATGTAAACCGATTTTTTATTTCACTTCTAAGCATTGACAACGGAACCACGAAAACAGTGGATAAATACCTTGAAAGAAAGGATGCTAGCTCTGGGACGAAACTGACACCCGAAGAAGAAGAAGAAGAAGAAAAACTTAGATACGGTCCTTGTGGATGTTGTGGAAAGGAGAAACACCGCGCAACTGAAAATTGCCCTTCTGGAATGTGAGGTAAACACATTTGTAATATTTAACTTATGTCCGTCTTTTGTTCAAAAACAAAAACAAAAACTTATGTCAGTCTTTTAGAACAAGAAGCCTTATTATTAATCAAGTGCCGTTGAGGTCGGTGGTTTTTAACGATCGATGTATGTATCAATGGCGATTGATTTGGTGTTCGAATGAAAAGTTTGTGTGAATTAGCATATGATTTATGCTTTAATTTGGGTGGCCGAGTGGCCGGTGCGATGAAGCCGGAATAAATATTTCAAATTTCTGAGAGTGACTCCTCCAACCCCCGACAGTGTGAGTGTGATCGACATCCGATTGCCTACGGTTTCGGCACTATCGGCCAAGCAACTGTATAACATTGGTGATCCTAATTGCAAACTTGCCACCCAAGTAACTGCATTTGTATGTTCTCGATCGGGTTTCCTAGATTAAATGAAGGATGAATGCCGCGTCTACCCATCTGGACATTGATGAGAGTTTGAAAACATTAAACCATATCTCAAATGGATAACCTCAAATGGATGGTCTCAAAACAAAATAAAAATCGTATACTGGCATAATTCCTATGCCTTGGGATGACAAAGAAAATACCCCATCTAAGCACTATCTTTTTGTTGCCTACCCTTGGACAAAGCGGTCTCTGTTGAGAGAATTAATCTCAGAGAAAGAAAAAATTTACATGTGATTATAAGTAATTGAACTACTTTTTATATTGTTGCAAATTGGTTTTATTGTTTGCAACTTTGGGACCAAAGTTTCCAAGCTCTCTTGGCAACTATCTTCATTTACGTCTAATCTTAAAACGCTTTAATCTTAACAACGATTGAGCAAACTGTAGCATGTAGATTGTAGAGCCATTTAAATGGCAAACTTTTATTTTTCGAAAACAACCCATGTACCAATCTTCGAGTTTTCTCTACATCATATCTCCCCGTAAGGAAAGAAAGCTGAATAATTGATGATTGACTTGTTTTGTACATGGATTTCTAAGAACATGCATAAAGCAAAGGCACACACATCTCCTGTTGTTTTGCTGACTAAATAGGTAAGCAAAATTTGAAGTGTTTAACGTTGGAATTTAGGGTACTTAGGCATTGCCTTGCCAATAAGTTGAATGCTTTTTGTGTTTTGATGCGCAGGAGAGCATCCCTCATAACGCTATTGACATGAAACCTTGTTTGATTTGTAATGTTTCTGCTTGCATTTGGGTCAGCAAAATTTGTAACGCGCAAGCGATCGGTTGCAGGCGGAGCAGAAGACATGATCATCAGACTTTTGAATTGGGAGAAAGGTCTGATGTGTACTCGGATATTCGAAGGGCATTGATCTCACTATGTGATGCAAGTTTTGTGTGACTTGAAATTCAGTGTTTGTGTGGAAGATGGTGTAAGCGGGATGGGATGGAACTGTCAGAAGAATATGGCATCCAACTACCTAATACGTAAGTTTTTAAAATTCCAAATGTATGCTGAAGCTATTGATTTCTTATCAAGTTTAGGATTTAATGCATGAACTCAACCACTTCCCATGCTGCCTAATTATGACCAGCTCCAACAATGACCGTCCTCCCTAAGAGTTTTACTTTATCATAAATATCTGTCACTGAATACAAGTAGGAAATAAAAGTCCTGCACCATACAAAACAAATAGAGGAGATGAACAAAAAACCATATCCAGATTACCTATTTGAATCTCTTTATTACGTACTTTAGTTGCAATCCTGGAATCCAATGCTAAGAGTACACATACCATCAGAGAAAAACATTGTAATGATGGTTGTTCTTTTTGATTTTGATATTGGGACCATAGAAGAAAACTGCAACACAAAGATATGATTTTGGAAATCTTAATTTCAAAAGATAGCATACAACCCCCACTACCAGCTTTTCACACATTTAGGTTTTTTTTATTTTTTTATTTTTATTTTTTTACCAATGTCCTTTTGCAGTTTCCCAAAAAAAAAACATAGAAACTAACTTTTAAATTCATGATATCAGTTAGTAAAGAAAAAAAAAACTTCAATACATGGGAATTTTAAAGTTACCTCTTGAAATTTTTGCTGGTGGATACATGGTCGCTGTATTTCGTGATACTTACAACAAAAATTTCAAGAGGTGACTTTAAAATTCCCATGTATTGAAGTTTTTGTTTTCTTTACTTACTGATATCATGAATTTAAAAGTTAGTTTCTATGTTTTTTTTTCTTTGGAAAACTGCAAAAGGACATTGGTAAAAAAAATACCTAAATATGTGAAAAGTTGGTACTAGGGTTTGTATGCTATGTTTCAAAAATAAGATTTCCAAAATCATATATTTCTTTTGCAGGTTTTTCTTCTATGGTCCCAATATCAAAATCAAAAGGAACAACCATCATTACAATGATTTTCTCTGATGGTATGTATACTCCTAGCATTGGATTCCAGGATTGCAACTGAAGTACGTAATAAAGAGATTCAAATAGGTAATCTGGATATGGTTTTTCCTTTATCTCCTCTATTTGTTTTGGATGGTGCATGACTTTTATTTACTACTTGTATTTTCAGTCATAGATATTTACGATAAAGTAAAAATCTTAGGGAGGACGGTCATTGTTGGGGCTGGTCATAATGAGGTAGCATGGGAAGTGGTTGGGTTCATGCATTCAATCCTAAACTTGATAAGAAATCAATAGCTTCAGCATACATTTGTGCAATTGAATTTTTTAAAACTTACCTATTAGCTGGTTGGATGCCATATTCTTCTGAGAGTTCCATCCCATTTATAATCTGGAATACATCCTCGGGCAGCAATCGTACTTTCTGGAATAATAGAAGTTCAAAGATAACTCTCTCTATTCTCTCATCTCTTCTTCCTCTCTTTGATGTTGTCTTCATAATTCCCTCTCTTCTTAATGTGTGTTCTCTTCTTACACTTTGGCCTTCCTTATATAGGCAAATGAATAGGCAAAATGTTAAATCAAAACCTACCACTCACTTAATATCTTCACCTACTACACCCATTAAGCCTTCACCTACCACACCCACTACATAGTGGACATCCTTCATATGTGGCATCCACACTTGAATTTCATAATGGACATCCATATTTACCATGCATTTTTACAACACTCTCCCTTGGACAAAGCAGTCTCTGTTGAGAGAATTAATCTCACATAAGAGAAAGAAAGAACCTTACATTATTGTAAATTGGTTTTATTGTTAGCAACTTTGGGACCAAAGTTTCCAAGCTCCCTTGGCAACTATCTTCATTTACGTCCAATCTTAAAGCGCTTTAATCTTAACAACGATTGAGCGAACTGCAGCATGTAGATTGTAGAGCGATTTAAATGGCAAACTTTTCTTTTTCGAAAACAACCCATGTACCAATCTCCGACCAACTTACATAAAGGATGATCTCCTTCGAGTTTTCTCTACATCATATATCCCCTAAGGAAAGAAAGCTGAATAATTGATGATTGACTTGATTGATACGTGGAGAAAGAAATTAGGAGTTTAAAGCATCCTCGCCTGTCAATAAGTTGCATTATATCGCTCAAATCAAAGTGGCCGGCATCTTGTTTGCCCCATCTCCTGTTGTTTTGCTGACTAAATTTTTATGGAACAAGATAATTAACAGGCGCATGCCAATAAATGATCTGATCTCAGAAAGAACACTATCAAGATCACCACAAAATAGTCAATAGAAAATTCTCGAAATCAGGTAAGATCGACATACTAATCTTATGAAAAAACACAACATTCACATTGGAATGAAAACCAAACCACAAAATGAGTGAGGAACTTAACAAGGTCTCACAGATCTAATATATATATATATATATATATATATATAGTTAGTTAGTTAGTTAGTTAGAAAATTCAGAACATATACACGGAAATTATTTGTTTCAAGTTGGCATTCATTATAGCAAGACATACAAGTTTTGAAATAAATTTCATCAAATTGCTTGCAAGTGTGGTCCACATGTGTTAATCTCACATGGAACCAGATCCTCTTTGGACTCAAAGGAATTGAGGCCAAGGATCAAATGATCATGACCATTATAACATTTGAAGGCTTCCTGTTTATAACCGTTGGATCAAATTTCAATAACTCAGATCATTTGATGAGTGGGCTCATTTCCTTTGGGTTTGAAGAGGATCTGGTTCCATCTCACATAATATGTTAAAAGAGATTGTTGTATGATATTGATCAGAAATTGAGAATTAAACTTTCATCCAAAAAGTTGGATGGATTTTGTTGTTCTATCAAGTATGGGTTGATTTATTTAGAACCGTATGGAAAAATACCGAAGTGAATTATTGTGTTCCTTGTTGCAAATCATTAAAATTGGATTGTGTACTGTTATCAACAATTGAATGAATTCAAAACTCAATTAGCCACCTCTAATACAACATGTAAATTTTATAGATATTTAATTATATCTTAACTAATCACGTATTTGAATCACTCTTATCAGAACCTTCTCGACTCATCTGCCAAAATCTCTTCAATTTCAAGCAGCCGCCACAACTCTTCCCCAAAGGTAAATTTCTCTTCTCTTTCTTGCATTCGGAATCTTCGAAATCCTCATCGTTTGATTTCTGCAATTTCGATTCCACAGAAACATGGTTCTCTCTGCAGCACTACCCATTTTCCACCAAAATCACATCTCAAACTCTTCCAATTTCGAACACGACATGCCCGGCGAAGGTCAGTACCCTCACTCATACCCAAAGATAATTTTAATATCAGTGGGGGTTGTAAGCTATCTTTCCAAAATAAGATTTCCAAAATCGTATCTTTCGTTTGCATGTTTTCCTTCTGTGGTTCAAACATCAAAAGTAAAAGGAACAATTGTGATTGGAATCCTCAGAATGTCATAGAATACTATTAGCTTATGATTCCAGGGTAACAGGCAAAGTCGACAAAAAAGAGCCTCAAATACGTAATTCTCGATATGGTTTTTCCTTATTATTCTCCTCATTTTGTTTTGGATGTTGCAGGACTGTTATTTTCCTACTTATCACTAGTCTAATTTTCAGTCTCAGATAATTACAAAAAGTAATTACAAAAAGGTTATAAAGTTCGGGAGACTTCAGATTGCTATCACTAGTGAAGGTGAGTCAACAGTTCAATTAATTCGACTCTCGGAAGTGACTCACTTCCCAAGACACGACGATCCTGCTTATCAGCTGGCAGATTTGAATCAAAGATACCGTTCAATAAATATTGAGATTTAATAATTTAAAGGGGCTTTTAGATCTAGATAAAAAAAACATAGATGCTTTTTAGGAGTGAGTCCGGATATCTAATTACATGTTTTTATTTCTTTTATACTCATTTTATATTTTTTTTAAATATTAAAAATCAATTAAAATATTCTAATATTATGCATTTTTTCAACTCCAAAAAAACTAATTAATATCTTATAACAAAAAAAACAAATATACTAACAAAAATTATCTACAAAACATTCTACCTTAACTCAAGTTACAAGTAACAAATATATGTGGGTATATTATACCTGTAAGCGAGATATGAAACCTAACTAAAAGGTTAAAAAAAACATAATATACATACAAGCAAGACACATTAATCTGTGACACATTGATTATAAAAAAGAATATGTCATATAGATACATAAAAATAATTAACCTGTGATATAGGTTGATTATAAAAATTAAAAATAAAATCTATAAATGGGGTTTAAAGCAAGAGGCAGAGCAAGAAATAACAAAAAAAAAAAAAGAAATAATCAAAGAGATAATTAGGAAGAAATTTAATTTTTATAATAAATCTTATCATTGAATAGATAATTATTGATAATTAAATAATTAAATTTAAAGAATTGGACTTATTTTAATAAATTAGACCATTCCTACTATTGGCTAAAAAAATTGGACTTATATCAAGTTGTCCCTAATTTAAACATGTTGGTTTCAAGGAGGTAGTTGGCTCTCTTGAATTAGAGATGTCTTCCAATAAATATTAAGATTTAATCATTCAAGGAGGTAGTTGGCTCTCTTAAATTGGAGATGCCGTCCAATAAATATTGAGATTTAATGAAGTTAAAGCAGCTTCCGGTCAAGAAAAACTTTAACTTTTAGAGTTATTGGTCTCGAGTGCACGTCGGGATGTGAATCTCACATGGTGCTGCTCCTGCGTCTCTCTGTCCAACATCTCCAATTACCTCTCCATTAGCATGGCCGACCCTGAGGGTATGCAAGTGGTGCCACTGCACAAGGCCCCCAAAACGGAAGGGCCCCCGATTTTACAATTTTGCATGCATATACATATATATAGCTGTATGTGTAGAATATTACAAATCTGAGTCTTAGCGCAAGTGTTATTATTGCTTCTTTACATCCTGCTAGGGGATGGGTTCAAAACTCATCTCCATCATTTTTTCAGTTTATTTTTATTAAATGCATATGCTTCCACAAAATAATATAAAATTTTCACACAATAACATAAAAATTTGAACCCTGACTCTCTAAATAGTTAAGAAAAAACAATACGTCACATTTCCACTTGTTGATTTATTAAATTTGTTTGTGCTATTAGAATTTATAGAAACTCAATTGAAAACTAATATTATTTTTTTGAACAAAAAAAATAAAATTTTTAGTACTTTTTAAGGCCTCCAATTCACTTTCGCAAGGATCCTGAAACCTCAGGGCCGGCTCTATCCATTAGGTAGGGTTTTTTTTGGCCCAAGCACTTATTTGGTAAACTTGTTGGTTTCAATGAGGTAGTTGGCTCTCTTGAATTAGAGATGTCGTCCAATGAATAGTGTATCTGCATCAACATGCACTTAAAATTCCTTCAGAATTGTTACTAGAGTACTTACTAATTAATAGATGTAGAACAAATGGACAAATGGATTGTGGAAAAACAAAAAGACAGTGGGAATTTGTAGATTTGCTGTCCAAGCTGCTGAGCCCATGATACCTATTCGAAAAGAGAGCGACACCAAATTGAAAACTCACTGTTTTGCCATGACATAAGATAGTTTTTAGCCATCCGATGTCGTTTCAAGCTCTAAAATGCAATTTTAATTTCCGTAATAAAAATCAAACCTTTGTTGCCGTCCGATTAATGTCAAATTAATTTGGTTTTAATTAATAGTCCTTTGAGTTGTTTTAGGAGTTGTAATTTGTTTTAGGAGTTTTAATCCATTTATTAAACCTTTTGGCTGTTTTATTGTAATCATTCAATTATCATTTAATCAAATCAACCTTTGGATTTTCTTTGCAACTCTGGTAGACTTCTTGTTCTTCGAGGGTTACGTCGTTTTCCTCTTGCAAAAGTTTTCTGAAATCTACCGAAGTCGGTGAGAAAATCATTCTATATATTTAATGAACTGTCAAACGTTTTGCATAGCTAAGTAAAGATTACAAAACTAACATAAGTTATGTAATATTGTTTTCACAACTCACATAGAGTAGTTTATATCAGTACCCAATCCAAGTTTAATGATTTGCAACAAGGAACATAATAATTCACTTTGGTATTTTTTCTACGGTTCTAAATAAATCAACCCAATAATTGAGAGAACAACAAATTCAATCAAACTTTTCTAATGAAAGTTTAATTCTTAATTTATGATCAATATCATACAACAATGTCTTTTATCTTAATTTGATCAAAAGGAACTGTCATTAGCACTTTAAAATTTTCATTTTCAAACCATATTTATATGCAGGGGTGTGAGAAAAGGAGAAAAGTAACTTAGAAGTAGAACAAACATATCCCTTTAGTAAATGAACGGGATGCCGACAGAAATACCTAAGGGTATGAACTTACTACATCAAATGAAAGAAATGTTTGATCGAAGAATGAATGAAAAAACAAATGCATGAAAGGGTGCGGGCAATATTCTTTCTTTATAATATTTGCAATTAATTATTTAGAGTAATACAAAACAAAATGCATGAATATTATTTGGAGTAAAAGTGTTGCTATGAACAAATTGTCTAATTTGAAGATACTTATCTTATTACAATTATTCTCTATTTTTACAATGATGCGTTTTTAGTTATGAGTTCTAATTTTCTTATTTTATTTGTAGATTTGTGATGAAAACTTGGAAGCATCAGGTGGAAACAAATGGATTCCACCAATGGGTGGCACCCACGACGTTGATGTTGCTTAAAGACTTTATGTTTGTAATCTGTAAAGAATATTCATCTTTAACTCGTGGATGGATTTTTTAAGTCAAGAGTATTATGTTTTAGTCATTACTAGCAATTGAGCCCCGCACGATACCGCGGGTTTTATGATCGTTTAAAATGATATTATTTTACATATAATATGTTTATACTAAGAGAGATGATTTTAAAGTGTTATTTACAAAGAAATTATACTATTTACAACCAGCTCAAATCACACTGACAGTCTGCTCTTTGAGCAAGTTTTTGACAAACCTGAACAGTAAAATGGACAATTGTTCATTCAATTACCATGAATGGATTAATGAAGAATCGACAATAACACTAAACATGGTAGTCATACAGATTAGGAAGCCATCCATCTATAAGCCAGTTCATTCACTTGCACTATTCTTCTAGTGTCTGATAATGAAAGCGAAGTTCCTGTAAGTACTCCTTAACCATATGAGCAATAAAGTTAGCTCATAGCTGATTAGCTTCAGGTCGTTCTTTGTCACCTCTGTTTTTTGTTGAGTTAAGTTCTCTAAAGTCGTCCCAAAAGTTGGTGTTTCAGGCTCATTGATACTCGCTTCTGCCTTTTGTTGTATGAAAACTCTTACACAGCGATGTCAACTTTGTCTGTCATGTTTTGATAACGTGCTAGTCAACTTGTCCTGCCTCTCCGATCGAATTTCCTAGGACAGACAGAAATTTTGGTTAGCACACCCAGCCGTAGTAAATTACAGATCCGATCAAATTCCCTAGGACAGACAGAAATTTTGGTTAGCACACCCAGCCGTAGTAAATTACAGAGTTAAAGCCAAGGAAATTACCGACAAACAAGATCCGAGGCAAGCAATACCACATCATTCACAGCCGTTCCGATATTAGACTGCTGAAAAAGAGCCTGAGGGGGCGTTTGTTTGCCCTCACTAAATTTCCTTGGATTGGACTGGCTTAGCTGGGATTGCTAGCCAGTGTTTGGTGCGAACAAGGACTACCGGACTACCGTTAATGAGACTAAGTCGGACTCGCACCGACTAAGTCTTTCGTTAGGTCGTCTTAGCGAGGATCCCCAATAGGTATGGGATTGCTAATCCCGTTCCCAAATCTGATTCGTTTGCCCGTTGCATCGTCTGCAAGCGTTCTTCTCTGCAACACCGTTTGCCCACCCCCCATATCTGAAACAAAAGCCTCACCCACTGCCTAAATCTCAAAATCCAACCACAAAATTAAAAAAAAAAAAAAACGCAAAACAATAACAACAACCAAATCCAACCACCAAATTCAAAGTCCACCCTGTGCCAGAAAATTCTGAGATGGCTTTGCAGGCAGAGAAGCCAAATCATGTATCAGATGGAAGAGAGATCCGAAAATTTTTGGAAGAAAAAAAATGAGGAAGGTGGAGATGCTTAATGGCGGCAAGAGGGTGAAGATGATGAGCTTTTTTTTGAAGGATTTGTGATGAGCTTCACACCTGCGTTGTGCAGGAAAATGAGGGAGAAAAGAAGAAATGGACGGAGCCAGAAGGAGAAAAGAAGAGATGATTCCAAAGTGATAGTTTTCCAAGAGAAAAAAAGGTTAAAAGGTTGATTAAATAATAAAATATTATTATGTATGCATCAAATAATATAAAATATTACAATATATACATTAAATATTATAATATATGCATTAAATAATATAATATTATAGTTTGTTTATTATCCGATTTTATAGTCCAACACTAGTCCAGCTTAGTCTAGTCTAAGCCAGTCCAACTTAGTCCCGGCAGCTAGTCCAGTCCGAGACAGTCCGGTGCAACAAACGCCCCCTGAAAGTACTTTGACTGCTTAAACTTCACAATGTAAATATCTCCATTTGTGCCAAAATCACAGCCCAGATCCTTCTTTGCTGTTTCTGTACAGCACGAGTATTCAAATCATTAGCATCACATGGAAAAATCTGAATCTACTTGTGAAAAGAAAAACAAAAGTGCAGTTACTAATCTAGACCAAGAACAGTAACAAATTCCGTATGCATCGATCAATTTCCAATTTCGGATTCATCAATTCAAAAATTAGTTCCTATCTAGCGAAAATTACAGGATCATTTGAGTGATAAATAAAAAATTAAGATAATCTTTGTCCAAAAAATCTTCAAGAAATTCACATAATGTTTAACCTTTAGCAATTTCACAGCGTCTCGACCAAGTCCAATAATAGGAAAACTGAAAACACGAAATGCGAAGTTCTAGAGGTTCTCGAAGCTTTGATTAAAATGAAGAATCAAGCTCAGACACAGAGAGAGGCGCACCGATCAGAAAGAGGATACATGACTGTCACGTCAAATAAGCATAAGGTCTTTTTTTTTTTTTTTTTTTTAGCATGTCACAAACAATAATTTCCAGTAGACGACCACCATGCTAACATATGCAGAAAGAACTAGAAATGCAGTATACTTCGCAAGTATAATCAAAACATTTTGTTCCTCAAGTACAAGAAAGAGAAACATACCACCAGTTCCTGAACCTGTGTCCGAAAGATATTTTCTAACAACTGATTTGGACTAACTTTGTTTGTTTCTGTCATAAAGAAATTAATTGGCCCAATTGTTATAGACCAATCAACAGCATCCGGAAAAAATAATAATAAAGATTTAAATGTGGCTAATGTACAATCAGGATATAGGTGAAGCAACGCTCCCCTGAACACCAAGGATAAAGCCTAGAATCAAAGTAAAGGACTCACTGGTAAATTAGAAATTGGAGCCTTTATAGGACAAAGGTAGCAAAAGAAAATGTGTCCAAATGTAGCAAACAGAAAGAGAATGAAATCACAACTGTATTTCAGTCTTGAGAAGCAAAACCATAAACAACTACGCATGCATTTACACAGAGACTTAATTTTTTGGGAAACAAGAAGATATAAATAAGATGAACCCTGAACATGAAGGATCTATAGTTGTTACCTGAGGTTGTATAACTTGTTGAACTGTATGAAGGGCAAACCTTTTAGTTGGGGTGGGCCGAGTTGGAATATGGCCATCCTGAACACTTCCTGAGAATAAAAACAGAAAGAAGATTTAACCACAATTGACAGAGATGGCAAATAACAATCACAATTATAACTGTGGTGAAAATAAGGCTAACCATGTTAAAGACTTGTACCAGAGTGCTAAAACTGAAGCCAACGACAAACAGTCGGCTATCCACTCTGTCAAACAAAGCCTTCCCAAAGGCTCAATAAAAATGATCTGGGAAACATTCGGCAGCAGAAAAAAGCATCTAATGAAATTAAACCTGCAGTGACATTTGGAACTGCATGTTAGAACGTAGAATGCAGAAGAGGCACAAACCCAGGAATGAAAAGTGCGGGGGGATGAAACTTTAGGCCAATTTTCCTACAGTCCCCCTTTGTTTTCTGACATTTCCGCAATTTTATGGAACCTGTTAATTCCTTAATCTGCACATGCATGTTTTCTCATGCATAAGCTAATTGTTTGATTTTTCCGGTCACCCAACGAAAGCATCAATGAATCAACAGACTTTACACCGAGAAAGAAAGTTATTCATAGACAGAACTCGACAGTTTCTGTCCCTTTGAATCTTCAATGAATACTAGTCATATATAGTTTTCACTTTTCAGAAGCTATTAAAAATTGATTACAATTGACAATTAACAAGCAGAGAAAATCGCTGCCAACCATTCACTGAACAAGTTGGAAAATTTCGAATTCATCTGTTTGTAACGGCAATATCTCTAAATCCCTAAATTAGTGAACGAAGCGGAATCGAAAATAGAAAAGGCAAGAAATCTCTTACCCCGCAGATTTCACAGCGGCGGGCCGAGTTATGAAGAGAGTGTCGTCCTTTACGTCCGGCGGCGACCCGGGAAGAAGAAGAAGAAGAAGTTGATGTCCAAGTTCTTTCTGTGTAAAGATAAAATCCAGTCCCTCCACTTTTTGCCGTCACGGCCTACACAGGCTTCACCAATTATCTGGACAAAAACACCCCTAACAAGAAGAAAGCTACATGTCGTTTGTTGTCAAACATCTACTTTTGACATCCGAGGTGCTTAGATTAACTTCTCCCTCTTATATCTCGTTTTGTTAGTTATCAAACAAAGGAGAACATAATGTTAAGAAGACTAAATTTGAAAACCAAATATATAAACTAAATGATAGGGGAGGGAATGGATTAGATTTCCAAAACTTTGAATCCATGAGACTGGCCTCCTTACCTCCTCCAAAACATAATCTAGTACATTAAAAACAAGAAAAGATCACGGAGATATACTTTGATACCGGAAACAATTGCATCAACCAGCTGTTTCACCCGTTTCTCGAAAAGCCCGACAAGATGTCTTGTCATCAGGATTACTGGAGTAAGATTTTCTCCCCTCTTTTTTCTCCTCCCCTTCCCTCCCCTTTTATTTGAACCATCACAGATAAGCCACGTCAACATCTTATATTAATTTTATATATACAAAGAAAGACAAAATAGAGAATGTGAGAGGAGGGGATGGAAAGGGGAGGGGAGAGAATCCTAGTCCTTTGTTACTCCCACTCAAGAGAGAAAAAAACTCCGCTGACACCAAATACGTAAAGAGGATTCAAATCGATGGGGAATCGAGTATTTATAATCTTCAAAACAAATGTAACAAAATTTGAAACGTCCGTTGCAGAATGCTCCGCTTCACAAAGTCAAGTTGAAACATCCATTATTGTCAATCTCTACTTCAGTTTTCAAATTTGAATCACATGACTGATGCAGGGGATCTAAGAAAGCTTTGCCCAAATGTTGACGGGTCCTCAAGTGTATATTATTACTCTAACTAAAAGCTAATCACAAGTCATTTAAAAATCCGAGGGACCAAAGGGATAAGTTCTAATGAGCTTGGATGGTAAGGTTTAGTAAACCACATGCATAGAAGGAAACAGGGTCTTCTTTACTTCACATTTACACAGGATACATGATTGTCACGTCAAATAAGCATAACGTCTTTTTGTGAGCGTGTCACAAATATTAATTTCCTATGGACGACCACCTGCTAACATATGCAGAAAAAAACTAGAAACTCAAATTTTGGAGAACACAAGAGGTATCGTGATTGAAATTTTGGAGAATCTAAAGTGTCGACGCATTTGTGGGACCAATATGTGGGACCAATCTGTGAGACCAATGCATCCAAGTTTTCCTTCCTTTGTAACACATCCAGATTTCCTTGGCTAAACTTCTTCAACCCTTTCCCCTGCAATGCAAAAAATAGGCTTTTGCATCTCTTGGACATCTTCTCCTCCGTCTAAAGTCTGACGAGCACCTTCCTCACTTGCAAAGATGACCAATCGGGTGTAGTATGCCCCACATAGCTTGGTAAGACATGAACTGACAAACTTCACTTCTGCTCTCATATATCTCATTTTGTTAGTTATCAAACAAAGGGAACGGGTAATGTTAGGAAGACCAAATTCTAAAACTAAACCCTCATATATCTCGTTTTGTTAGTTATCAAACAAAGGAGAACGCGTAATGTTAGGAAGCACCAAATTCCAAAACTAAATGATCCGAGGCTCAATTAACGGCAGCCCTCAGGCGAGAAGACTTTAAGCTCAAGCGAAATATGACTTGAGGGCGGCCGCTTAGCCGCTCTTTCTCAAGCTCAAGTCTGAGATTCACAAAGATTCTTTTCGCTCAAGCCTTCATTCATGCGACTGAAGTGGTGTTATCGACACTGTGTTTCAAAATTTTATAGTAAGTTTGTGCCAAACGGCATACAAATATAGGTGAAACAAGTCTCGAAACTGAAATTTTGGAGACCCAGTAATTGTTTTACAGCAAAAGAGGGGTTATCGGCACATGTTTCAAATTCTCAAAGGAAGTTTGTGCCAAATAGCATACAAATCTCAGTGAAACAAGTCTCGATGCTGAAATCTTGGAGAACTGGTAACTGTTTTACAGCAAAAGAGGTGTTATCAACATGTTTCAATTCTCAAAGGGAGTTATGAAATTTCGGAGAATCTGTGTCATTGTCAAAGAGGTCATGTGACTGAATTATTAGAATCAATCAATCATCAATCTGAGGGACCATTGCATCCAAGTTGGCCTTAGTAAGCCAACACACCCATATCTCCTCAGCTCCTCCATTGAATTTCTTGAAACCCTCCCCTTTCGTGGCAAAAATAGGCACATTCTGAACTTCTTTTGCCTCATCATATGTCCCAGACGCACCTTCCCTATTTGCAAAGAAGACCAGCATGATGTAGTACTGCCAACGGAGCGTTGTAAGCCGTGGACCAACACACTCCACTCTCCCTGGTCCCATCTCCCTGTGAAAGTTGCAAATATAAATTAAATACACGTTTAAAATGTATTTTAAATGGTGAAAATAAAAGATTTTTTTTATTAGCACCTCACATAGTGTTGAATACACCCTATATTAAAATTTAATATTTAATGACTTATATATCTAATATGCAATGACAAGTTCAACCTTATAGGGTTTAGAAAAATTAAAAAAAAATCTAAATACACTTCAAATTAATTTTAACGTGTATATCCCAAAATTATTATTTCTTAATTATTTTGTTTAATTATTTTTTTGAACAAAATCCCAAGATCATTTATTCTGTTTGAGACTTCAACTCTCAAACCCACTTTCACCTTAAAACACATCCACTGATGATTGATTCCTTAGGGCCATTGTTGACCCTTAACGCCAAAAGTCTCTCAACTGGTTGTTGGCAAATAGGGTAGGGTTTGTTTGGAATCTCAAGAGCTTGACACACATGCATTGCAATAAGAAAAGAAGTCCAACCAAAAATTAGTCAAGGTGAAAATCCACCATAAATTACACTCAGCTTGATTCAAGTAGATTAGTTTTGCACATATAGGATAGACATCCAAGTCATGGGCAGGATGGGATGCCTCGGCCTTCACAACTATAGGATAGATATCCATGTCAGCTACTTTTAGTAACTCTCTATATATTCTCAAACATTGAGAAGTAAATCCCAGTTCCGGTGGGGCTGCCTCAATCATCAATCTGAGGGACCATTGCCTCCAAATTGGCCTTAGTAAGCCAACACACTTATATATCCTCAGCTCCTCCAGTGAATTTCTTGAAACCCTCCCCTTTCGTGGCAAAAATAGGCACCTTCTATGGATAATCAACCTCCAGTAGTGACGAAAGAGAAGGTCGATCACTTGGTCGTACGCGGCACTACTAGGGGAATCCTTACTTCCAAATTAATAAAAGAGTTGAGACCCTTTCATACATTGGAAGAATTAACCATCTTGTGTGAATCAGCAGTATTGGACGCTGCAACGTGTGACCCGGGCACTGGAGGTTATTTGACAGGTTATTTCTATACTTATTTTGCCTTATTTTTGTTTTAAGTATCTCATCAGGTAATTGTTTTGCAGTTTTTGTTTTAAGTATCTCATCAAGTAATTGTTTTGCAGTTTCTTACCTGACCTGTTATGGGTTTGAAACACTCATTCGCACAACTATGGTTGAGTCACTCAGTGCGGGTTTGGACCAGCACAACCCTACGGTTCAAAGTGGCTATGGATGAGAATGAAGTAATGCCCAAACCCGCACTGGGGGGGCAATCCTTGTCTGCCCGATCTTCTCAATTCCAGAAGGGGGAATCTCAGTACCTCCAGAAGATAAATGAGGACGAGAGCGCTTTGACTTACGGACCAAACGAGAGGGGGAAGTCTCTTTCAGGACTTGCTGCGAAAAGCCAAAAAGACCAGGTCAAGACAAGAATACAGTTTGAGACAAAATGAGGCTTTGAAGAGAAGAAATGTACCTGACTTAGCCCAGGGGTTTCACCAGGAAGAATACTAAATCCTCGTTGAGGGGAAGACTTTCCACCACCAGCAAGGGAAGAAGGAGCTGTACTTGAACCTGCACCAGTGCCCTAAAGATATCCCGAGGTAGCAGCAATTGTTAGTAAACAAATTGTAAGAGGAAAAAACAAGAAGAAAATACTCCCATACCTGAGTTTGATCCTGAGGAGAAGAATGAGGTTCATCAATATCAATTGTCGGGCAAGTAGGCACCCGTGAGACTATTACCTCTGAGGTTACAGGAATCTCAGGGACTATGGGTTCATTATCTGATACCATTGATGGAGGGGGTGGCTCATATACCGGAGAAGGCTGCTGAAAACGTGAGTAGGAGTTAATTTGGAAGCAATGTACAAGAATTCAATTTGGGAATAATGGCTCACCAAGTTACTGCCCTCATCCACGAAGTGCAACATAACTCCTGTAGAAGGGTCAAACTCAGAGGAATGAGTTGCATCCAGGGCAGGAGAAGAAATCACAAACTTCAGAGGAGGGCCATGACCAGGCAAGAAGGCAAATGCCCCAGCCTAAGTACAGATAGAAGAAGAAGAAAGATTCAGGCATTAAGTCCAGAAACTATAGAGTTACCTAAGGGTTGAAAAAGGAAAAAAAGGTACCTCTGAAGGGTTAACCTGAGGAGGAGAAATGCTGGTTTCTCGGAAAAGTGGTGGGGAGGCCTCGGGCGGAAGAAGCTTTTCCTCTCTTGCGGCCTGATTCAAATAATCAGATTTAGAGTTCTGTGAAAGCAAGAAGGGGTGTACAGATAAAAAATATAAATCATACCTCGAGTTCTTTGAGGGCGGTATTTTGCAGTTCTTCAGCCTTTTTGTGCATGGCAGCTCTTAATGGTTCCTCCTTAGAAGCAATGATTGGTCTCTTAGATGCTTAAGGTCCTGTTTTTCGAGGAAAACAAGAAGCAATTAGATAAAGGAGAAAGGTAGCATTTTGGTAAAGAATAACAGAAACTTACTTGAAGATTGTTGCTTTTTTCTGCCTGCCTCGGGGACTAGAGCAATGAGGCTAATGACTTAGGAGGAGCGACAGTTCTTGCTCTCTTACTCTTTCTAGTAAGAGTTGGTCGTGGGGTTTTGGGTAGAAGTGCAGGATCAGGATCTGAAGCCTCGATCACAGTCGCTTTCTTTCGCTTGGGTGCTTTAATAATTGCCTCAGGTGTTTCTTCAGCTTCTGAATCCCCAAAGGATTCCAAAACATCCACACCTTCCCCAGCTTCTTGTCTTTCAGCCTCTGCTGCAGCTCCATGGAGAACTGCAGCATCAGCTGAGTCATCTTCGGACTCAATGGCTTCTGATTCAACATCCACTGGGGCTGCGGGGTCAAGCAAGAGTAAGGTTAGATGGACTTCAGAAGGGAAACAGAATCAGGTTAAAAAGAGAAGTACCTATCAGAAGTGACCGATTCTTCTTTTGGAAATGCGATCATGAGTCTATTTCAAGTCTCCTTCATACTTCTTGGTCAATTTGTCTTCCCACCAAGAAGAGAAGAGCGAAGTACATTCAAAGTTGAGGATGATGGACTTTCGGGCAGCCTGACTCATTACGTCAAGACTGCGTCGGGCAGCTCGGAAGATCACCTCAGAGGGAGTTGGTAGTCGAAATGAAGTGCCACAATGGATAGAATCGAAGAATGGGACAGGAATGGCTTGCCTGAATCCTAACTGCCTGCTGTAAAAGTTAGGATGGTACACCTCCAAACCTCGGTCATATCTATTACCTCGAACTCCCCAGGCCAGGTCTCTCGGTTGAATGCAGCTAATGAATTTCTCCCTACAAGAGGGGGTAGCATCTTCACCAGGAGCATCTTGAAAGCCTCAAGACCGACGCACCCCATTCTAAATCTAATCGAGTCCTACAAACTCTGAAGAAGTAGAAGCATGCAAAGGTGGAATGATCTATAGGGGCAGCTCCAGCCAGGATTCGGGCAGGGGCCACACCCTCCGGGAACTCCAAATTGGTAGCCCGAAACTCTGGGAAGTACCATTGAAGCCAGGTTTGTATCATCCAGATAGGCCCATTCAGGTTGGTCTCAAATGGCTCGCCTTGAGTCATTTCGAAAAGAAGATGATAAAGATGAGAAATGAGGAATGGGCCTGTAGCTACATCATTGTGTGCCGCGGTTCGGTTTTGAAACCGAAACCGTTTCAAAACTGCAAAACCAAACCGTTTGGTGCGGTTTGATTCGATTTGTGTTTCGGTTTCGGTTTTCGATTCCAAGTGCCCACCCCTATGATTAAGAGATGAACAGTTACAAAAGTATAAAAAAGGGACAGGGATGGGGCCTCCCTTGCGCACTTTGCGTACACGGTTTTAAATTTTCCAGTTAGTCACTATTTTCTTTCAAGAAATTTCTAAGTAATTTTGATTGACGATATTTTTATAATTTCAGAAGAAAAAAAAAGTGAATTTTACATTACAAAATCATAGAGGGTAGGATAAAATTCTCATAGCCTCTCCAAGTCAAAGGAGTAATCGTAACTTGCCACTAGTTATCTTTTTTTTTAAGTAAAAGTATATAGTTGTTCATCAATGGAGATTGAATAATATTTGTCTTTCCGAGTTCATGTGACAAATCAAATCGTTGGACTATTAATGAAAAAGTATTAAGAGTCTTTGACTCATTTAGTTTGATATCACTATAAGGTATTACACAATCATTAAAACTACCAAGTTCACCACCATGTTATGATAAAAATCAAACTAAACGGGGTCTTAATAGTTATTCATTAATAATTCAATAGGTTAGTTTGCCACCTCTATTTTCAAGGCTATTGAAAGGTCATAAGAGAGTCCATAACTCTGCCTGAAATTATGTGCCCTGGCCCAAGTAAGGCATGATCCAGCATCTCTCTCTCTATCTATCTAGGCACTAAACTAAGCAAAAGACATACAGAGGTAGAAATTGGGAATGAAAAGCAAGCAAGGGAGGAGAGAGTAGTTGCCCGCTGAGACTAGATCAGTTTAAGTTCAACAATTGTACTAGTTGACCTTACTTACACAAAGTTACAAAAGTTCTATATGCTCCGGACAATCTTATGAAGATGTCGAATACAAAAAAGGAGATATGAAATTACCCAACTCAAGCACCTTACTTTTCCCGAATAAAAATTCAATGCGTTCACACAAAAGAAGAAAGACAAAAAAAGGGCACATCCTCATGAGTTCACAACTTTCATTAAAGCTTACAAGTCACAACTCACAAGTCATCCCTACATAATTTTTTTTTTATATATAATGCTAGAAAACTAAATTTATAGATTAAATTTTATAAACTAAATGACATAGAAGTTGATGATTGGATTACTACTTATGTGTAGATTAACGTGCATTTTTTTATTGGTGACACATTATTTTGTTTGCAAATTTAGTCTCCCTATCATTACTTTTTTTTCTTCCATCCACTAGTTTCATCTTTGATCAGCAGATCATCCAATGAAACTTAATCTTAACAAAGACAGCTAACCTACACCTGGTGGGTCGCTGTAGCACTCAGATTACGTACTTGTTCATTCATTATTAATCCAAAATATCACAGTAGCTATACACGACTCTTCAATTAAGGATAAAAGCAAACTAAAACATTTGAAAATGAATGAGTGAATCTTGATATAGGAAAAAACATACCTCCCAAATTGGCTTCGGTGAACTAAGGTTTAGCCTGATTACGAGAAAAACAAGTGGTGGATTACCCTTATGGTTAAGAAATTTCTCTTCAACTCACTATGTTTTGAGTTCATACTCCCCCGCATCCCCTTAGTGTGAAATTAAGAAAGAAAGAAAGGTGAAATTAAGAATGAATCCAGCTCCTCCTGATGCCGGGAAGTTGCCTGGTGCTAGTGAAGGACACATTCAGCCGAGTCCTTCTAAAGCAGATCACATTCACACCTTAAATTCTCCAGGGTACAAAAATTGAAAATTTGGAGAGACAAGGATTAGTCACTTTCACATGCTTAAAAAAAATATAATTGATAATGCTACCACGCGCTTTATGGTAGTGGCCAGCAAACAGTAGGAAATAGCCCCTCCACCCCGGGGCCTTAGGCGCTTTCTGTACAAATTTAACTTTATTGCTCCATCTACTGATTTCATCTTTTTGACCAGCAGAGCATCCAAAGCAATTTAATATCGACAAGGGCTAACCAACACCCGGTACGTCAATGTAGCATCAATGCGACGCACTTGCTGGTTTTGGTCGAGTTTGATTTTGGAAAGCAAGGTCCTTCCCATTCAGTAGACTTGATTTCAAGAGTCATCGACCCAATAAGAAGAGTAAAGTGAAGGAAGAGAGATCGAGGGGAGCTTGGTCGTGGCTGCTGGTTTTTTCCAAGCTTATATGGTTTTTACCCAAGCAATATTGGAGGAGAGGGGAATTAAACCTCATATTCTGTCCTCACATGCAATTCATGTTTATGGAAGAAATATAGCGGATGCAATAACTGAACTGAGTATAATACTTAGGTACTCATCAGTGATTATTTTACGTATTCGTCCAATTTACTCGTGTTCTTTGTTATTTAATACAACAATAACAACAACAACAAAGCCTTTTCTCACTAAGTGTGGTCAGCAAGTTCTTTGTTATTTAATGCTCAAGAAAAATTAATAACATGTAAATTATGTTTTAAAACAATAACCAGCCTTTGCTGGGACTTCTTTGGCACATGTTAGAGATGAATTTATAGTTTCAACAGCCTTTGCTCATCCGAAATATATCATTGGTCTGGCTGCAAGAAACCCCAACAAACAAAAAAACAAATAAAATTAACAAACATATGTTGAATAATACTTCAAAACTTCAAAGATAGAGAAATGTTTCTAAAATCATGGCAAAAATTGACTGTAGAACCAAGCATAGGGCACCAAAATATAAACCTCAGTAATCGAGTAACAAAATGACAAACCAAGGGATACATCTATTATGAGGCACTTAGTTATCCTTGAAGGAAAAGACTACATAACGCACTATACCTCAAGCCTATAATGTTATATCACCCATAGTTACACATAAGAATCAAAATAAGCACCATAATCCAAAAAACGTGATTTCATCACGCTAGACATGTCAATGAAAACCCCTTTGTGTCTACAAAATGCAAAAATTAACCTCTTTTGAGAAATGAAGGAAGAAAGACCAAAGCTTACGCCAAGAAATATAATCATGTTTAACTCAAAATATTTGACATTAATAACACAAATCTAATCCCATATAACCAGACAGAAGCTACACCCTAGAGACGGAAGAGGGGAACATAAAGCAACTATGCCCCAATGATTATATAATCTCCAGACTGAGAGTGAATTCAAAGCATGAAAGGGAACTGAGTTCCTTGGTTCCCACATAGATCAAACACAATTATGCACTTGATCATCACAAATGGGGTCAAAAGGTCAAAATTCACCCCTCAAAATTTCAATGAACTAAACAAAGCATTGATGCAGGAAAATGATCAGAGGCTTGAGATATATAAAAAAAAATTAAATTAATTGAGTATATCCCCTGATTTTACAGATGCCTTGCAAGTGGGGGAGCTCGAAGAGAGCATTTGAACCAAATTCTTTATAAGTTACAGCTCCTTACAGTCTTCAAACTATTTTCCTTAAGTTGCATATTCGCCCAAGGCTGCTTCCATCAATGTTCTAGTCTGCTGTAAAAGTAACACATGAGTTTTTCTAACTTCAACAATAGAACCAACAGAGTCAAAGGTCTTGATAAGCATTCTGAAAAGAAACCATTATAGTATCTGTGTGTAGTATATGTATTTGTGGGTGTTTATCTGAGTCCATCATTCGTTTGTGCTATGAGTATTTAGGCGTGTAAGTTCGTGTGTGTACTTGCCAAAAAAATATGATTTTTACTTTCAGTCGATCAACTAAAAATTTATTCAAATATAACACTACTTGGTTTTGAGGCTCCTAGTATTGGCAAATAAAAAAAATTAAAAAAATTAAAAAATAAAAAAAACTCCTAGTATTCTCCCAATGTTAAGTTTTAATATTCATTTTTGCTTGGCTTAATGATTTAGGGTTTAGGGTTTAGGGACCAGTGAATATTTGTTCGATGTAAGTGTGTAGATATAGAGACTAATCCAAAATTAAGACATGTAGGAAATATTTGAGCTTTACTTGATTACCGACGAAACAAATGCTCAGAAATAGGATTTGAACTCATATTTGAACTCAGGTAAGAAAGAAATGATACCTTTTTATTGACCAGAAAGGTTCCCTTCATAGCACAACCCTCGTAGAAAAGTCGGAACTGCATGAGCAAAGACTACAAGGGGAAAGCAGGGGGGAAACAAAAGCAAAAAGGAAATGAGAATATATTGAGCGAACTTAATTCAAAATCTCCAATTTACCTAAAACATAGACTCACAAACCTCAAAGTATTCATTGTTGAACTCTTCTTTTTCAGTAATTCTTTCAGACAAAGTCATGCCAAATCCTCAAATATGAATCCAGTTCTTCTCTTCCTCTTTCTCTAATTGAAATCGAGTTAGGGTAAATTACACAAAACTACCTCAATTATGGATCAAACGACATTATCATGCCTCATCTTTTTAAAATGACAATTTCATACCTCATCTTACGAATTTGTTCCAATGTCAAACCTCCGTCAGTTTTTCTGTTAATTTATATGTTAAGTGCTGACGTGGTTAGAGACAGGGCCCACTCACTAATCCAACTGGATTAAAAAATAATTAAATATTAAAAATTATAAATAAATTATCTTTTTTATATAAAATTGTGGGATCCACCTCTACAAATCCTTCCCCACCCGTCCCCCTAACCTACCTCCACCACCCCCTCTCCCTCTCTCTCTCGCCTATCTCTCTTCTCTCTCCCTGCAACCTGCATCCCTAAAATCCCAAAACCCAGAAACCCTTCCCACCCGTCCCCCCCAACCTTCCTCCACCACCCACCCTCTCTCTCTCATCTCGCTCTCTCGCCTCTCTCTCTCTTCTCTCTCTCTGGGCAACATGCATCCCCAAAATCCCAAAACCCATTACAAATCTCAAAACCTAAAATCTCATCAAACCTCCCAAATCTCGAGAATGCGGCCTTGTTCGACTTCGACCTCACCCTTCTTGTCCAGATGGTGCAAGGATTAGAGAGAGATATGGCGTGTTTCTGATTTGGAGCTAGGGATTAGAGATAGAGAAGGAGTTTCTCTTATTTGGGGGTGGGCTCGGGTGGGGAGAAGGGGTATGAAGCCATCGTCGGCCTCCTTGGCATCGAAGAGGGTGGGTGGTGGAGGAAGGTTGTGGGGGAAGGTGGGAAGGGTTTCTGGGTTTTGGGATTTTAGGGATGCAGGTTGCAGGGAAAGAGAAAAGAGAAAGGCGAGAGAGAGAAAGAAAGAGAGAGAGGAGAGAGAAAAAGTGGTGGAGGTAGGTTGGGGGGGACGGGTGGGGAAGGATTTGTAGAGGTGAATCCCACAATTTTATATAAAAATAATAATTTAATTTTAATTTTTTAATATTTAATTATTTTTTAATCCAGTTGAATTAGTGAGTGGGCCTCGCCTCGCCTCAAGCCACGTCAGCAATTAACAGAAAAATTAACAAAAAAAATTACTGATATCTGACATTGGAACAAATTTGTAAGATGAGGTATGACATTGTCATTTTAAAAAGATGAGGTATGATAGTGTCGTTCGACCCATAATTGAGGTAGTTTTGTGTAATTTACCCATTGAGTTATCTGGTGAAGTGGTGTTAAAGTTTACATAAGTGTCAAAAATGAACTTCTTTGCAAAAGAATACAATAATTTATGATGAAAATCTATGAATACCAATCAAAATTATATAGAGGAAAGAAACCTTACCAAATTAAAAGGATATGATTAGACCCAATACTCTTTGATGAATTCCAACAAACTGAATAGGGGTTTAGATAAATAGGCAGAAATTAAAAAAAATGCATTCAAATACATGAACAAAAGATAATAAAATAACAAAAAATCAAGAGAAATCAACTTTGTAGTAAACTCTAGATCCCAAAACAAAAAAAATTATTCCTTCACTATTTCCTTAGCTAGCCACCACTCTCAAAATTCCTCAATCCCTTATATCTCACAAAGAGACACATGCATGTCCATTTCAACTCTTAAAACCGAAAGAAGTGTTAGGGTTTCTTAGTTTCTTACCCAAATCCACCAATTTGAATCAAATCTCTGCAACACATATGTGAAACAGATACACAAAACACCAACATTACAATGGTTTTTTTCTTTCATTCAAAGCTTGCATAATTGAGAAAGTTATATTTCGAAGAAAGATTAAAACCTTTTTACAAAACACACTTACTGAAAAACCTCACATTTATAAAGACCGGAAGTTTTTGCTCTAATTTAGTTCCTACTGAGAGAGTAGTGTTGAATCTACTTTTATTATACGTTTAATTTATAATCTAATTTTATTTTGTCTTCAATTTCTTTAGAAATAAGAATTTCAATTTCAATTTTTTTTTTAATTCATATACTTACATTTCTCTTTACATATTCCTGAAGCTTATGATATGCCTTCCTCTTTAGATATAGATATATCTTCATTTAATGCATTTGGATGCTTTAGTTTTTTATGAACAATTGTTTTGGCTGAACAATTTATATGTGCAGAGTAATGAAATCTATCATTGGTATCAGTGACATTCAAACACATCTATCTAATGAATGATAGAAAGATGGATATAATAAGCATTTTCTTTGTCATTTCAATGCAGTGATTAGCTAGGTTTAAGCTTTAAGCGTTGAATTGGGTTCCTTTGCGACTGAACTAATTATATCAACTACTGATCTCATATGGTCAATAAATATGTAAGCTGTCTTTATACTCGAGAGAAATTAAGTACATTGGACAACATCATTCGTCCTCTTTGTTTTTTTATTTACTTTTTTTTTAATTTATTTTCCCCCTCAATTTTTCTGCCATGCTATTTCATTTGGTTTTTTATTTTCCTAAAAGTTTTCATTTGAAAGGAAAGTATTGCATTCGAAAGAATTCTACGTCGTTGCTCAAGTTTATATTTTTTTTTTGTTTTTTTCCTTGCTCAATCATTATCTTCTTTTCGCTGCATATTGATATTGAGTTTCTGTTTGGAAATGCCTCTGTTTTTTTTTTTTTTTTTTTGTTCACTTGCTAAAAATGTCTTTGCCAAAATTTAAAGGGCCTTTTCTTTGTTTCTTCTTATATTCCTCTCTCTTTGTCCAATTATAAAGCAGTTTTTCGTTTTTGTTGCTATAAAGAGTTTTTCTTTGTCCAATTATGCCTAACGCAACTCTTTCTAATTTAAATGCACTCTTTTTGTCACACATTGTATCTGATAGAGCAAATGAAAAAAGAGCAAAAAACGGATTATATATGCTCCCTCATTATCATAAGAAAACTCCATCTTAGCTTTTGGTTATGTGTCCCCCATTTGTTTACTTATATGTTGTACTGTTTTGAGTTAAATTTAACAAACCATCCACACTAAGTGCTCCCTATTTCAAAATGCGAATACAGAGAAAATCCATAAGAGAAAATTGCAAAATCTTTTTTTTTTTTTTTCTAGAATAACAAATTCCATTTCCAGCTTACCTTATATATTATTCTACATATGTATGCCCTCCTCCAATACAACATTGTACAACAATGTCTTCTCTATTTTAACTTTACATGTTATTCATTTGTATGTTGTTGCTCTCATACTTCATATAATCCTCAATCGCTTTTTAACACTCTAATGTTGCATTGTTTGCACAGGATTCCTTTATATATGGTTTCTTTGTGAAATTAATCACAGCAAATTATTACATCTTCGTCATAATGATACCTTATTTACTATTTTAATTTCTACATACACATTTGTTTTTTGACTGTTTTTGTTGCTACAAGTGATTTATTTGAACTCCCCTACTGTCAAATTAGTATCACTGAGATATATTTGATATAGGACTGAAGTGCGAAAAATGGGTTGGTTTGAATGCACTCATTTTAGTTTTTTTTGCATCTGATAGAGCAGATGAAAATAGAGGGAAACAAAAATCTCATTTGCACCTTCAGGATCACAAATGAACTATATCTCAGTTTTACTTATGTTCCCCTTTTGTTTTCTTATATGTACGAACTAACAACTCCTTTTTTTTTTCAAAATTTGTAGGAACTAGCTGAAACCTTAAACCTCAACATAATGAAGATGAAGATGAGCTGGAAACAGTGAAGTAGGAAAATCTAGATTCAATAACATGGTCATAGTCTATCTAAATATTTTGAATAATGAGCAGTTTAATGCTGCTAATTTTTTTTATCACGGTAATATGTTGCTAATTTACCTTCTTAAACAACAGACATGTAAATATTGATATATAAAACTTATTTTATGTTAAATAGTATTGTCTTAAACGGTGTTCTTAAAACCCACAGCAAAACGCGGGTATTCATGCTTGTAGCCCCTAACTGTGGATGGAGGGCTGCATTCCATCCTCCCTATTTCCTCATAAGCCTGGAAATCTTTTCCCAAATATGGGAAAGCCAATAATTTCTCATATTAGCACCAACCCGCTTATTCACTTTCTTTTTAGGAAAAAACATAATGAAAATTACTAAAAAACTTTAAATTTTAACCATAAGTACAAAATAAAAGATAAAATAAATAGTACCATGATTGACTTTTTAGTATAAAAAATGTGATTTTTTGTTAAATCGAACAGCACCTAAAGCTTTTCGTTAAAATTCCATTCTTTTTTATTCCACAAGACAACAAACCATACATGTTAAAAATGCCAAGAAATTTTTATTTTTATTTTTCAGGCCTAGGCATGAAGGTGACGTTTTGTCAACAAAAGAACCTAGAAGTGATTTAACAGACGGTTATGTCAGCTTACACGTCACACCTTAGCAAAGCGAGTTAATATCTATTACCTAGTAATTTGAATATGTTATGTGTCAAGTAACCAGGGTTGCACAATGCAACTGCACACATCGAATCTGAACTTCGCAATATAAAATGAACAGAAACTGTTCAAGTAATTCTTCAATTTCAAGTTGGATTCTAAGCTTTCAGAATGCAAAATCATACAGAATCAAATCTGTAATTGAAGATGTCAAACAACGAAAAAATTTCACAAGTAGCAGTACAACAATGACTAAATCAACAATATTATATCAGCAAAATTCAAATAATTTAATGGCTTAGGTTGAGACATCAGCGGAAGAGGTCTTCCTCACGAAGCACCTTTAGATCTGATCTGACCACCTTGACTGCCTCAAAGGGGCAAAGGGCAACGTGCTTGCATTGCCGGAGGGAGGATCGGAGGAGAGATTTCGAGAAGATAGCCATGGCAAAGGGCAACACGCTTCCTCTCGAAATATCCGATGATAATTCCATGGCTATCAAGATACAAACAGTCAGGGATTCAAATCTTTCCAACTTACATGAATTTAACGTCCCCAGTGTGGAACAATATCCTTGTAAAACCTGCATTGAAAAATATTCACATGTTAATCTTAACGACGACAATTTTGTTTGAAGCAACAAAACATGTATATGTGGGTGATCATAAACATTACAATGATGATGCAGTACAACTTGATAAGAACTATAGATCGATCAAAGTATAAGAATCAGGAGAAAATCTAGAGAGAGAAGGTGGTGAGAGTGAGTAACTTATGCAATGTTTCAATTTCTTCATAATGAAGTAATACATCATTTTACAAAGAATATTTATGCCCTGTTAGTTTTACAAACTTCATATGATACACTCAAAAGATTTTCACATAGTTGGAGTGAAGCTGAAATTTCCAAGTCACATAGTTTCATCCAATTTTACAGTGACGGTGTTAGAAACACCTGGGAATCAAGATGAAATCGGTGACTAAGTTTAGACTAAATGACTGGCAGAAACCATCATGACACACAGCAACAAGAACAACACTCTCAAAATGTAGAAGAAACAAACAATTGATTATCCCCAAAATCTAGGGTTGCACAATGCAATTGCACACATCAAATCAGAACTTTGCAATATAAAATGAACAGAAACTGTTCAAGTAATTCTTCAATTTCAAGTTGGATTCTAGACTTTCAGAATGCAAAATCACACAAAATCAAATCTGTAATTGAAGATGTCAAACAACGAAATTTTTTTACAAGTAATTCTTCAATTTCAAGTTATATTCTAGGCTTTCAGAATGCAAAATCACATAGAATCAAATCTGTAATTGAAGATGTCAAACGACGAAAAAAATTTCACCAGTAGCAGTACAACAATGACTAAATCAACAATATTATATCAGGCAAATCCAAATAATTTAGTAATTTACCCATTTGTTGGCTTAGGTTGAGACAACAGCGGAAGAGGTCTTCCTCTCGAAGCACCTTCAGATCTGACCACCTCAAAGGGCAACGCGCTTGCAATTCTTATTGTAAGTACCACGAGATACATGGTAAAAAACCTAAATGTGTGAAAAGCTTGTTATGAATAGTATTATGCAAAGGGTAGTGGGGTTGTAAGATTTCCAAAATAGAATCTTTCGTTTGCAGATTTTTCTTTTGTGGTTCCAACATCGAAAGTAAAAGGAACAACTGTGATTGGAATCCATCATGGAATACTATTAGCTTATGATTCCAGGGTAACAGGCCAAGTCGACAAAAAAGAGCCTCGAATACGTAATTCCCGATATGGTTTTTCCTTATTATTCTCATCTTTTTGTTTTGGATATTGCAGGACTGTTATTTCCTACTTATCACTATTCTAATTTCCAATCTCAGATAATTACAAAAAGGTTATAAAGTTTGGGAGGGTCGAGATTGCTATCATTGGTGAAGTTGAGAACCTCAAAATCTGCCAGGTGATAAGCAGGATATCGTGTCTTGGGAAGTTCAATTAATTCAGATCCTGGAAGTGACTCACTTCTCAAGACACGATGATCCTGCTTATCACCTGGCAGATTTTGCGGTTCTCAACAGCACCAATGATAGCAATCTGGAGCCTCCCGAAATTTATAAACTTTTTGTAATTATCTGAGACTGAAAATTAGACTAGTGATAAGTAGGAAATAACAGTTCTGCAACATCCAAAACAAAAAGAGAAGAATAGTAAGGAAAAATCATATCGAGAATTACGTATTTGAGGCTCTTTTTTATCGACTTTGCCTGTTACCTTGGAATCATAAACTAATAGTATTCCATGACATTCGAGGATTCCAATCACATTTGTTCCTTTTACTTTTGATGTTGGAACCACAGAAGTAAAACCTGCAAACGAAAGATACGATTTTGGAAATCTTATTTTCGAAAGATAGCTTACAACCCCCACTTCCCCTTGCATAACTATTCATAACAAGCTTTTCACACATTTAAGTTTTTTTTTACCAATGTCCTTATGCAGTTTCCCAAAGGAAAAAAAACATAGAAACTATGTGGTCCACTTTTAAATTCATCATATCAGTTAGTAAAGAAAACAAAAACTTCAATGGGAATTTTAAAGTTACCTCTTGCAAACTTTGTTGTAAGTATTACGAGATACAGCGACCATGTATCCACTAGCAAAATTCACACCATGCTGCAAAGATTTAGTAAACTCGAACCAGCAAAATTTTGTTGGATACTTGTCCGTTGTATCTTGTGATACTTGCAACAAGAATTTCAAAAGGTAACTTTAAAATTCACATGTATTGAAGTTTTTGTTTTCTTTTCAAACAAGGTTTCATGTCAATGCGTTATGAGCGATGCCCTCCTGCGCATCAAAACACAAAAAACATTCAACTTATTGGCAAGGCAATGCCTAAGTACCCTAAATTCCAACGTTAAACACTTCAAAAGGGTTTTACGTGGTCTGAAGTAACTAAAAAACAAGTGCAAGAATCCTAAAATAAATGTTATAGACATTATAAGTGGCATCGTAGCAATTGTGTTTACAAAATAAATAATAAAAATTGCAGAAACGAAGAGGGGCACTGTCACAGCAAACTTACCTCTCGGATAGTTGAGCAAAATTTCTCTCCATACTAATAAGTCATGTTATTATGATGTAGTGGAGCATGTCAATTTACAAGATGTAGACTCTGAAAAAGTTATACAGCTAAAAATAAATCCTTGTTCTTGGCAACCTTTGAGAAATATTTTATTTCATCTTTACACTATCACGATTCACGACTAACTTACCTCTTGGATTGGAGGAGAACTTTCATGGCACGAGGACAGCAACATGGTACCCGTGGAACTTGTTATCATCGGCTAGTTGAGCAAATTCACTTAAAATAGCTACTAACTTTAGTTAGATTTTGTCAAGCATGCCAATGTTTAGAGTGTAAACATTGAGGGAAAACTATTTTAATTCATCTTAAATTAATATTCCGACCTTGAATATATTTGGTCTTATTGACAATTATTAGTATGTAAAAGTAAATTTCTTAGGACTTAAGTCTCATCCGTTAAACAACACCTAAAAGTACTTACTGATACAATACGAATACTTGCAATACAAAAGATCATATAAACTTGCACTCAAGTCGTTAAACTCTTGAAACAATTTGAAAGCTCGCCTCGAAACTCTTGAAATATAAAGAGAAATGAAAATTCATATAAAACTGAGAATGCATAAGACAAACGTAAAGTTTGTAAAGGAAGAAATAAAAAAATCAAATGCACTTACCATACACTAGGAAAAGTTTTTTCGGTTTGCTTGAAACACGAGTATGACGGACGATGAAAATATATTCATCAATTTTGAGTTTGGTGTATGAATTAGTATGAATGTAAGGTTTATATAAACAAAAAAAAATGATGAGGTTGTGGGTAATGCCACGTGGCACTACGTGATTAGTTGAAAATCTTATTGAAATCTTGACTAAATCATTGTAACTAGATAGTGACAAGTGACGTGTCAGAATTGATTTAAAATCTTATCGGAAATCTATCCACAAAATAGTACTTTCGGATAATGACACGTGACATGATAAGATTGGTTAAAAATCCTATCCGAAATTAAAACTAAATTATTTTATTAAAAAAAATAATAATAATATTTTAATACAAATTGACTACAGATTGTGCCAGCGCATATTTTAAAGGTGGAAATGCATTTGGTCAATTACTGTTTATTGGATCCTTTACTATTCATTTGAATGGATTAAATAGGCTGACTGTCAATGCATTTTTAGGGCTAGAATTGCTCTTAGAAAAAATGTTATGCATAAATAAATAAAAGTAAAAATAATCTAATGAACTCATTGGGTCATTCTTTGGCACAAATTAAGATGAAAACGTGCCACATTAATTTGAGTTACAGGCTTAGCCTAACACAGATAATAATTTGTTTGATTGACACATAGTTATAATTATTCTAATTATTAGTATGAATTTCATAACTAAGACAACCTAATCTAATTTAGATTGGGTTGTCTTAGTTATGAAATTCATTTTTTTGATCTCTGTGTTAAACTAAATTAGATTGGGTTGTCTTAGTTATGAAATTCATACTAATAATTAGAATAATTATGTGTCGCAGAGACAGGTATGGGTTGTCGACTATGATAGAAGGTGAACCAGCCTCCTATGTTTCTCACTATGAGGTGTATGGTTCTGGAAAAACATTTGCTTCCCAAATATTAGAGGCGTGCTTGGAACCTTATCAGACTTTCGAAAAAAGAATAAAAGTATGCAAAATGGCATTGATAGATGCGGCAATTTGGGACCCATCACAGAGGATTCTTGAGAGGTAATTTTATTTACAGATCATTCCAATTGCCTTATATTTGTATGAAGTGTCTCATAAGGTAATTGTTTACAGTTTGTTTTCTTGGCTTCAATCACTTATTGAAGCAACTGTGATCGAGTTGTATAGTGTGAGCTTTGATGATTGGAACCACAACTGCCAGAGATGCAGAGTCATGCTGATATATAACATTTTTGGGAGTGTTGTCCCAGCCAACGACATAAAAAAGCGGCTGCAGTTAGTAATAGTTTTATTTCGCCATTAAACAATCTTTTTTTTTTTAGAAGAACCATTAAGCAATCTGTATTTAATTATTTGGGGTTTTGGTAGGGTATTAAAAGAGCAGAAGTGAAGTTTGTCAGTTCATGTCTTACCAAGCTACATGGGGCATACTACACTCGATTGGTCATTTTTGCAAGTGAGGAAGGTGCTCGTTAGACTTTAGACAGAGGAGAAGATTTGTACAAGAGATGCAAAAGCCTATTTTTGCATTGCAAGGGAAAGGGTTGAAGAAGTTTTTTGTAGCAGCTAAGGAAATCTGGATGTGTTACCTAAGGAAGGAAAACTTGGATGCATTGGTCCCACAGATCCGTTGACACTTTAGTATCGTTTAATTTCTAATAGCTGAGTCTCATGACCTATTTGACAGTAAAATGACACAGATTCTCCGAAATTTCAGTCATGATACCCCTTCTTGTAAAATAATTACTGGTTCTCCAAATTTGAGTTATCGTGACTGAAAAAACTAAAAACTCGAACCAGTAATTGTTTTACAGCAAAATGTATCATGTCTGAAATTTTGGAGAATCTGTGTTATTTTACCATCACAGAGGACATGAAACTCAGCTATCAGAAATTGAATAATACTAAAATGTCAACGGATCTATGGGACCAATGCATCCAAGTTTTTCTTCCTTGGTTAACACATCCAGATTTCATTGGCTCCTGCGAAAAAACTTCTTCGACCCTTTTCCCCTGCATTGCAAAAATAGTCTTTTGGGACATCTTCTCCTCCATCTAAAGTTTGACAAACACCTTCCTCACTTGCAAAAATGACCAATCGGATGTAGTATGCCCCCACATAGCTTGGTAAGACTCTTTTAATACCCCTGCCAAAACCTCAAATATAATTAAATATAGATTGCTTAATGGCTCTTCTCACAAAAAGAAAAAAAAAAGATTGTTTAATGGCAAAATAAAATTATTACTCGCTCCAGCCGCTTTTTTATGTCGTTGTCTGGGACAACACTCCCAAAAATGTTATAGATCAACATGACTCATTCGTGGTTCCAAATCATCAAAGCTTGCACCATACGACTCGATCACAGTTGTTTAAATAAGTCAGTTGTTTAAATAAGTGATTGAAGCCAAGAAAACAAACTGCAAACAATTACCTGATTAGACACTTCATACAAATATAAGGCAATTGAAATGATCTGTAAATAAAATTACCTCTCAATAATCATTTGTGCAGGATCACAAATTGCCGTATCCAACAATGCCATTTCGCATACTTTTATTCTTTCTTCGAAAGTCTGATAAGGTTCCAAGCACGCCTCTAATATTTGGGAAGCAAATGTTTTCCAGAACCATACACCTCATAGTGAGAAAAGGCTGGTTCACCTTCTGTCATAGTCGACAACCCATACATGTCTCTGCGACACATAATTATAATTATTCTAATTATTAGTATGAATCTCATAACTGAGACAACCCAATCTAATTTAGTTTAACAATCAAAAAAATGAATTTCATAATTCCAATTCTCATACACCAGAAAAAAGAAAAAAAGTAAAATAGAGAAGAGGATGTGAAGCGATCTAAACAGACAGTATTGGACAAACAAAATCAAAGTACCGAGTTTGAACCTACTATCCCTTGCTCCAGCAGCCCAAAAGCCAAAACCCCAGATCAACTTCCATCCCGCCGCGCTGCCTGTCCAAAAGCCAAAACAGAGTGATAGAGAATGTGGGAGTGGGAAGTTTTTATTTTAATTAGAGATATATTAGGATTACATGTAGGTGAGACTTTGAAAAAAAACAGCAAAATTTGATTGTGTGAAATTACATTTCTACCCCATATTTCTTATTCATGTTCTATTTTAATTACATGATTAAAGTAGTAATTTCATAGAATTTTGATTGACAATGAGTATTTTATTAATTAATGGAAATATTAACACATGTTTCTTACCTGACCTGCTATGGGTTTGAAACACTCATTCGCATAACTGTGGTCGAGTCACTCAGTGCGAGTTTGGACCAGCACAACCCTACGGTTCAAAGTGACTTCATTCTCATCCATAGCCATCAGAGCGTTGCCTAACTGGACGACATTAAAAATTGGCTCGAGTAAGTTTAATAATTTTATTTTCACCATTAAAAATACATTTTGAACGTGTATTTAATTTATATTTGCAACTTTCACATGGAGATGGGATCAACGAGAGTAGAGCGTGTCGGTCCACGGCTTACAAAGCTCTGTGGGCAGTACTACATGAGGCTGGTCTTCTTTGCAAATAGGGAAGGTGCGTCTGGGACATATGATGAGGCAAAAGAAGTTCAGAAGATACCTATTTTTGCCACGAAAGGGGAGGGTTTCAAGAAATTCACTGGAGGAGCTGAGGAGATATGGGTGTGTTGGCTTACTAAGGCCAACTTGGAGGCAATGGTCCCTTAGATTGATGATTGAGGCAGCCCCACCGGAACTTACTTCTCAATGTTTGAGAATATGTAGAGAGTTACTGAAAGTAGCTGAGTTGGATATCTATCCTATAGTTGTGAGATATCCAAGTCAGCTACTTTCAATAACTCTATATATTCTCAAACATTGAGAAGTAAATACCAGTTCCAATAGGCTGCATCAATCATCAATCTAAGGGACCATTGCCACCAAGTTAGACTTAGTAAGCCAACACACCCATATCTCCTCAGCTCCTCCAGTGAATTTCTTGAAACCCTCCCCTTTCGTGGCAAAAATAGGCACCTTCTAACTTCTTTTGCCTCATCATATGTCGCAGACGCACCTTCCCTATTTGCAAAGAAGACCAGCCCAATGTAGTACTGCCCACAGAGCTTTGTAAGCCGTGGACCGACACGCTCTACTCTCCCTGGTCCCATCTCCATGTGAAAGTTGCAAATATAAATTAAATACACGTTTAAAATGTAATTTTAATGGTGAAAATAAAATTATTAAATGCACTGAGTGACTCGACCACAGTTATGCGAATGACTGTTTCAAACCCATAGCAGGTCAGGTAAGAAACATGTGCTGATAACCCCTCTATTGCTGTAAAACAAAATAAATTCGTTGTCTTTCTAATCTAACAATTTTAATTAGGATTTTTGAAAAGTTTATAATACTACAGCGATTTTCAATTACTATTTTAAGTATTTTTGAAAACTCTAGGCCTATTCAATTAGGATTTTAATAAAAGTTTATAATACTTTAGGTATTTCTAATTAGGATTTGATTTTGAAAAAATCGAGAGAATTTGAGAAATATCGTAAAGTATTTTAAGCATTCACAAATTTCGCGTCTCCTCTTTTAGATTTTGAGATAATTGAATTTCACTCATAATTTTGCTTGAAATCTCTAAAACAAATCAATTAAAAACACATCATATTCCACAGACTTATATAACTTAATTGATATATCTCAAAATCTTAATTGAAATTGAACACATGATAAGTAGCATTTGGAAAATTTTATAGCATTAATTACTATCTTTTTAAGTAGCTTTTAAAATAAAATCATTTTTATCGATTCTTATTTATTGTAACTACCTAAATTAGAGAGATAAAGTATGGTATGAATTAAAAAGGAAGTCCAACTACTAAGCAATCCACCACTTTTACGTTAGCTATCTTTCGAAAATAAGATTTCCAAAATCGTATATTTCGTTCTGTGGTTCCAACATCAAAAGTAAAAAGAAAAACTGTGATTGGAATACTACTAGCTTATGATTCCAGGGTAATAGGCAAAGTCGACAAAATAGAGCCTCAAATACATAATTCATTCTCAATATGGGTTTTCCTTATTATGCTTTGTTTTGGATGTTACAGGACTGTTATTTCCTAATTATTAGTAGTCTAATTTTCAGTCTGAGATAATTACAAAAAGATTATAAAGTTCGGGAGGCTTCAGATTAAGAGCATTAAAATAGCTCTAAATTACAACAATAGGATGAACTACAAAATGATAGAGGAAAGATTAAGAGCTTACCCTTGCAAAATCAAATGAAAGAAGCAAGACTTGTGTTAACAGTTATGTGATATGTGCATTTGCAGACATCAAGATTTTACATGTGCAAGAAAGGGAATCACTCCATTAAAAAGATAGGAACTACTGATATTGCAGGTACATCAACCGGACCACTAATTTTAAATGACAGCATATGCTCGAGTAAGCGAAAGACTAAAAGACGAAAAGAAGAGGGTTGTATACCCGTTTCAATGTCATTGTCAGGGCCCTCTTAAACCTGGTTCCAGAATGACGATAGTCCAACACTCTCATAGTAACTAATACTTATTGTGACCTTCACCCAGTTTGTGAATTAGAAGCTTGAAATACACCAAAAATTATATTAATAGCCATTCCCTTAATTTTAACTACTAACAGCGTAAAGAATTTGGAAATTACAATTAAGACCAACGTTTTCCCCCTTTTTTTCATTGCCATAAAAGGCAGAAAAACAAAGGCTTCTAAAACTCAAACCAACTGTCTCATTTCTTCCCAAAAATAAACAAATTTTAATCCAACATTCATAAATGCATGGTCAAATAGGGGAAAAATTATGTTAATTTGGGTTTCAAATTTACAGACAGAACTGTTTACAATAAGCATATATAACATGATTTGGTCTGCAGTGCTTTCATCAATAGTTATAAAAAATAAAAAATAAAAAATAAAAATAAAAATAAAGATTCTAAAGATATGCATGCAATAGAATGACTATTACCTCCAAGTAAGCAGTTGTATGGTTGCAATCTAAGTTGCACACATCATGTTCAAACTGATAGCTTCAGTATAGCACTTCGACAACATTATTTCAGGCTTTTCCTTAAATGAAGTATTTCCCTGGGAAAAGATTAGTAAACATAGAAATTGAAACAATACACATTAGTACATTGGTATCCCGGTTCTTTGCTAATAGAAAATGAAATTAAGGGGATGGAGAGATCTAATTTCAATTTTTTGAAGGAGAACACCATACTTCATTCATATCAAAGAATAGCATGATTCCAATTTCAATTTTGAACATAATAAAACATATAGCATTCATATATTACTTAAACTTCTTTCAAATTTACTTTTGTATTTAAAGATCGTATATTTTAATGAGTTTAAATTGACTTTATATATAAATTATAGGTTTTTATATTTAAATAATAATGTACATTGTATAATTACATTTATAATCCATGAATACAATTAGAGGCCTTTGAGTTGTATAATTACATTTATAGTCCATGAATACAATTAGAGGCCTTTGAATTTCTTTGCAAGAGAAGATTTATAAGGAAAAGCAACTGCAAATATACAGACGGAGGGAATTTGAGGTTTGTAGTCCATCTACTCATCAATTTTTTACTATAGATACAACTGAGTAGTGAGAGAGTTTTAGCTAATACTCTTCCATTCCACAGGTAATTATAAAAAAATAATCATATAATTTCTCACAATAAAAATCAATGTACTAAAAACAAATGATATATATCAACTTTGATGATTTCTCTTATTTTCCCTCTCCTTCCCAGCAACCAAACAGGGGCAAAAATTACCAAAAAATGAAAAGATTGAAGTACCTGAGCAAGTTGGAATGCCTGGGTTGCCATATACACTTGGTGTAAAAATATCATGGTGGGCATTTTCAGAGCACCAAAATCCTTGATCCATAAACGTATGTGAAAAAATCAACAAAATAATATTGTGATTGCATTAATCCGTAGAAACAAATATGCTAAAATCGAACTTCTTTATCAGAAAGTAAAGACACGATCCAAAAATCCGTTAACATAAAAAAGATGTCAATGTCCATTAGCAGTAAGTGTCTCACCTGGAAGACAAATCTCTTTCATTCCTTGAACTGATAGAAGACCTTTCATACGATATATGTCCTCACTTCATTCAAACAACAGTGTACCAAGCCATATGTTAGCCTGAAAAAATAAAAACGAAATCCGTAGTCTTTGTCAGGTTTTCTTTCATACATGCCTGGACAAAGACTCTGGATGCAACTGGCCCTCAAATGTGTACTTGTCTCATTCAAAGGCAACAGGTCCACATGGAAGACACAGAATAAATTATCAAATATATTGCGAAATAAGACAAAACATAGATCCTACCTTTTCAAGATCTAAGTTCCCTTCACAAACTATGCTGACAGAAGAAACACCAGGATCATGAACATGATCATGGGTGTGGTGATCCTCATGATGGTCTGCATATCAGTTTCAAATGTGTGAATATTAGTTCATAAATCTATATTAAAAATAGTAGCAATGTCAAATTACAATTATAGTGGAAGATCAGAACTCTTAAAGCAAATCAAAATATTATCCAATCAAAAACCAAACTAAATAAATAAAAACCTAATTATCCCCAACTTCGAATATGTAGTTATCTATTATCCATTCCAAGAAATGCGAAATGCATAACAGAAAACGTAAGATAACTGGAGTAGGAGGGGAGAGACTGAGCTGCTGAGCGCAGGTAGTACAATAAAATCTTATCCTTTACACTTCGGTAATTAGTACCTTTCCTACAGAAATAAATTCAACAACAAATGGTAAATAAATCAACAAAATAATATTGTGATTGCATTAATCCGAAAGAAAAAAATATGCTAAAATTCGTAGTTCGGGTGCAAAGAACTTAATTTTCAGCAATCCAGAGTCAGATATGCACACAACAGGGAAGAGAGTATATTTTTTGAGGCACAAACCGAGTCTTTACCTTTGCTTTTTGTGGATCTCGGAACTGGATCAATGTTTTGCTCTGAAACTGGAGGATCGAACATGGATCTGCGAGTTTGAGCGAAATATCATCCATAGGTTGACGATCCTAGAGCCCTAGCATGGAAATATCATCCTTCGGTTGTTGGGATCTAGACTGCAATGAACATGAGCTACGCAACAATTAAAACCAACCTGTTAATTAATTTTAAAAAAAAATACTCAAATCATGCTTCTACAGAACAAAAACACAAAATTTATAAATTCCAAAAAACGAACATTCGTTATCGAACTTATGGAAACACGATAGGGTTTGGGAAAGAACGAATCTCGCTATCAAATTTCTGTAATGTTAGGGTTTGGGTCGGAGCTAGGATTACCTGATAATGCCAAAGTCTTCGCCGGGAGGGAGGCGGATGGAATCGGGGTGGAGCTGCTAAAATGGAGGCCGTGGTTGAGATAAATTGGATAAGGGACGGCTAGGGTTAGAGAAATTGAGTGGCTAGGGTTTTCTTTTAGAAAAATGGAGAAGAATAGGGGTGAGCGGCGCTGGGGCTAGAGGTTGGAGAAATGAAGAGAGAAAAAGAAGAAGTCGAAGGCGGCGAACTCTACGGACAAAATTACCCTAAGTTCTAATGATTACCCTTCCAATACAGCCCAAATCTGATGGGTTTCTTGTAAATAAGGTAAAATCAAGGGGTAAGCCGTCCTAAACCCTGCTGACAAAATTACCCTTCTAAGTTCTAATAATTACCCTTCAAACCCATCCCAAATCTCATGGGTTTCTTGTAAATAAGATGAAATCAAGGGACACAAAATTGACTATAGCTAAGCTACAGTTAAATCCTTCCTCAATTTTAGAATAGATAATAATAATAATATGAATCTGCTAGGGTTTCCATCAGCACGTGTGCTTAGCGCCTCATGTTGGATCAGCAGGTCACGAGTTTGACCCCCGGAGCCATGCATTTTTTGTGCTTTATTTTTAAATTTTGCCAGCGCCTCGGTTTCCCATGATCATGGTTGTCCAATCCCTTTTATTTTCTTTTGTTTTTATTTGTTATTTTATATTTTATTTTTCTGTTTTTATTTTTCCTTTCCTAGTTTATTTTGTTTGCCTTTGCTCGATCTTTTTTTTTTAATTTGTTGTTCTAGAGAGTAGTCTTTTTTTTTTCCACACCTTGATGACAATGTGTGATTTAAGTTTGGAGGTGGGAAGTAAAATTTTTAATTTGAGTCCAATAAAAAAATTCATTCTTTTTAAGTTAATATTCATAGATTATTTTAAATGTTAGACCAAATGGACATGGTGAAGGTTGATCCCACAATAGAGTCTTTTCTATTTATCGTTGCTTAGACACTAATTTATGAGTTATACTTTGAAAATTTGCACATTCACACCAACATGGTTTGTGGGGAGTGAAATTGAAGCACTTACTTTTCATCTAAGTTAATTTTTAATTTTTGTTCTAAATAAAATAAAGTTTTGTTATTATTATAAATAAAATAATAATTGTTCCACCCGAGACTTTGCTTAGTAACCGAGCTAGTCCTATCTGATCAACAGTGATTCTCGCGTCAAACGGTAGAGTCTTGGCATGAGACACGGTGGTTAGTTGGTTTTGTAGCCTTTTTAGCTCGAGTTAATAAGTTCTTAGGGGTGTTCTACACTTAGTACGCTAAAGCCTTAGGGTTTGGGGAGACATTGACCTAAAGCTTGCATGTGGGGTTGGTTAGAAAGCTTAAGGGAACTGACATTGCACGACCACTACTATGACTAGAAAAAATTATTATGAAAAGAAAAAAAAAGAGAAATAAAATCGAAATAAAATAAAATAAAATGACTATATAAGTGTGTGAAGGATTAAATAAATGAAGTTTTAACGAAACACTTCCGTTACTGTTCACTTTGAATGAAGAATGACATTTTAACTTTCCTGTTACTATTCACTTACACATATATTTGCCATTTTTCATTAAAAATAAATAGTACAGAGGAATTTTCGTTAGTTTTCCTTTAAATAAAAGGGATGAGAGGTAAAGGTTTTAGTCGAGTCCCCTTAATTATGATGGTTCACTTTACACCGAATGAAGTTTGTGAATTCTTTTCTAATTGACTGGCTTAGACTCTGTTATAGGATTCGTTGGAACTTTGAAAATATGTTCTAAATTTTAAAGTTTTCTATGGATTGCAACTTGAAGGTGAAAATTGTCTTAGTTAAGTTTTGTTTAAGTTCGTACTTTGTTAGTTTTTCTTTTGTTTTTTGAGTTTTATTTTGCTTGAGGACAAGCAAAATGTTAAGTTTGGGGGTATTTGAGGAGTCAATATTTTACTATATATTTTACCATAATCTTAGTATTAATTTATTGGTTATTTTGTGTAAATTTTGATACTTTAAATTATATTTCTAATGTATAACATTCGACTTCCTCTTGAGCATAAAGTAATCAAATGGACGAATTTTGAAACAATTCCAATTAGAGAAGGTTTGTGAGTCTTTCAAGATTATTGTATCAAAGTTTCAGATTTTTCTACCAAGCTGTTTAACTATGACGATGAAATAAAGATCCAGCGCGCAGCTTTTTCAGATTGACGTTTCTAGACATTTTGGGTATTTTGGAGGTCAAGACGGTATATTTTGAGGAAGATTCATTATGAGGATTTGTAGGGGACGACTTAAGCTTTCAAAAGAGACCTTTTGGGACCAAATCGGAGTTGATTTGGGGATCAAAAGTTTGGTTTTCTGACAAGTCCGAATTTTAGTTCAAATATGAAACATTTTATTTTCTATTTTATTATTTTATTATGTTTCCTAGTTTTATTCTAAACCCTTTTAGGGTTTTATTTTGTATTAGTATAAATAAAGATATTTAGCCATTAGGGTTTGGGGAAAAAAAGGAGTGGGGAAAACACATGAACTATTTTGGAGGATTTGTACTCTTCTTTCAAGGTGTTTTCTGTAACATCTCACATCACCCAGGGGTATGATCCTTAAATGTATATTCTCATTCCTACATAGCACGAGACCTTTTGGGAGCTCACTGACTTCCGGTTTCATAGGAACTCCGAAGTTAAGCGAAAAGAGGGCCAGAGCACTCCCATGATGGGTGACCCACTGGGAAGTTGCTCGTGAGTTACTAGAAACAAAACCCTGAGGGCGTGGTTGGGGCCCAAAGCGGATAATATCGTGCTACAGTGGTGGACCGGGCCGGGGAAGTGATCCGCCCCGGGCGGGGATGTGACAATTTCTTTCTATGTTCTTAATAATATTTTGTTTTATGATTATTTGTAACTAATCCGTTTTGCTAGGGCGAAGTCTTGAGCCGAATATGTAATTTTTATTTAATTACTTATGATATTATGCATGCATGTTTTGAATTATTAATCACCATTTTAAACTATCTAAGTGTATTCGCAACCATTAGGATATTTAGAAAGGTAATTTAATGCAGTTTTGGTCGAAATGTTCCTTGAAATTGGCGCTGACTTATTGTGGTTAATAATTGTAATTTAACTTAAGATGAACATCACGTCTTAAGGGTCGCATGGTTTTTCAAAAGGATTTTCATAAAACTTAATGAGTCTTTCATGTTCATATTTGATCCGAACGTCTGGACGGGTTGCATGTTAGATATACGTTATATGTTAGACGTTCCAAGTAGAACATATATTAGGAAAATCTAACATTCGAAATATGCATGGGTAATTTATAAGTAATTGGAATAACTACGTAAGATTGTTAAGGTGACGGCTGAACCCTAGGGCTTTTACAAATTGATTTTCTTTAAATTGGTTTCTAGTTGATTTATTTAATTGTTCTTAATTTAAATTCGTTTTTATTATATTAAATTCTAAAATCAACATTTTCCAAACTTTGTTTTAAATAATTAATTAAGAGTTGGTTTTAAACATAAATTATTCATTCAATCACTGTGGAAGCAACCTTACTTGAGCTGCTATACTACGACAACCTTGTACTTTTGCAAGTATTTTTAAGTGTTTTTATCCTTACTTTTGCAAGTGGTATTATTAACTTTTTAACATACATATTCTACCATTTGTATAGTAACACGTGATGTACCGCTCTACGTACCGGTTACACCAAAAAATCTCTCCAAGGGCAAGTGGAGAAAGAGGACAAGTGAAGGCCGCACGCATAGGACTGCCATCCGGGAGAGAAGAAATTTGTACGAGTATTGTAAACACAAGCGTGTTCACAATAATAACGTCGCTTGACCCTCGAGGAGTAGGGAACGGTCAGGAATAAGACGTTAAAGATAACTAATAAGATCTACGACTATATGCATTTTGGCTCCCGGTATGCGAATTTGCGACAGAGCATAGCTATTTCCTAGTGAATTTCCATTTTAATTTTTTTCAATTGTTATAAGCGATGGCAAGTGGGCCTCTATCATAATCGTTTGACAAAAAAAAAAATAAAGAGGCTCAAAGGGCGTATTTAATTGAGGTTTAATTTTAATTCTTTCATAAACATAGCGATATTCAATTACAATTTTAAGTGATTTTTGAAAACTCTAGGCATATTCAATTAGAATTTTAATAAAAATTTATAATACTTTAGTTATTTCGTAAAGTATTTTAAGTAATCACAAATCTCACGTCTTCTCTTTCTAGATTTTGAGAAAATTGAATTTTGCTCATATTTTCCATGAAATCTCTAAAAAAAATCGATTAAAAGCACATCATATTCCATGGACTTATATAAATTAATTGATATATCTCAAAATCCTAATTGAAATTGAATACACGTTAAGTAGCATTTGGAAAATTTTATAGCATTAATTACTATCTTTTTAAGTAACTTTTAAAATAAAATCATTTTTATTGGGTCTTTTTTATTGTAACTCCCTAAATTAGAGAGAGAAAGTATGGTTTGAATTCGGTACAAAGTGAATTATAAAGGAAGATCAACTACCAAACAATCCACCACTTTTACGTTAGCTACAAACCGTTGGGGGCTGAGCTCAACATTTATATCTGCTCCGACAAATCCAAGGTCAATGCGTAGAGAGTGCCTTTCAAGGTTTATATCTGCTTCGGCAAATTTTAGTTTTATTTTTTAATGTAAAGATAAATTAAGCGGATTGGGTTTGTGGGGGTAATTTAGATAGTAATCTTGGTTTAAAAAGATAGTAATAGATAATTTAGGTACAATATGAGCGCTGGAGTAAGTTGGCTGAGATAATATTGGTTTTCTCTCGGTCTCCATTTCCGGAAATCCCAATGTGTAAGTTCATCTTACTTCCCCAAATTCACAATCCCTAAAACGTAATTTGCTGCATTTTCTGATCATTCAATATGTCGGCAACGTCAGCTACCAGCCGCCGGGGACTGAGCTCAGCCTCCTCAGTGATGTTAGCCTTTCGCTTCCGGAGAAAAGGTACGAATCTGTGGCCTGAAAATATCAAATCTTTTTATTAGTTTTCGCTTTCGAATAACTTGCTAGTCACCTATGGTGTTCTTGGATGCATAAAATCTTGGATGCATATGTATGACTAATTTGAGTACTTATTCAAGAAAACCGTGGATTTTTCTTAAGTCGTAACCGTTCGATAAGAAATGTAGATGATCAAAATCTTGCTTATTGATTCGGAAATTTAGATAGAACTTATTCACAAGACTCAATTTCATCACCACACTGGAGGAAGATAAATACCATCTAGTATTTTTCATCTTTTCTTGATTTAGCAATTTAGCAACACTCAGCTCACTCACAAAGACGTACATTGAAAGATAATATTACAAAGCACAATATTGACGTTCTGTCTCACGAAGGACGGCATCTGTCTGTTTCTTACAACCGCGGTTGCTACAGCTCCAACACCAAATCTGCAATGCAAATAGTACCGGACTGTTAAATGTATTCGTAGTAGGCTCAGTTTTGAAGACGTCGAATGCATGATGGGGTGCATATGTGTAAAAACTTGCTATGATATGTCTAGATAGAGCCCGGCGAGTTAGGATATAGGTTCAGTTCGGTGTGGTTTCTTTTAAAGTTTCTTTTTTTGAAGAAGGCTGATGGTAGAGTTTGAACTTTTTGTTCTCCCAAATTTTTGGTGTTCTGTACTTGATTTGCCAAAACATGTAGGGACTAAATCAAAGTTTATCGGCGTATAAAAAGTAATACTTACATTCTGCATCTGTTTTAATCCAGTGCTCTGCTCTTGTCCCGTAAGTGCTGCCATTCAGCCTGTACTGGGGGAAGTTCATGTATTTCTTACAATTTTCAGTCCCCTCCTTTACCAGTGGCCCTTCAGGGAACCTTCTGTTGTCTCCACCCTTGAGCATCATGTTTTCATTACAACCACTATCTGCACTGAAAATTTTCTTCTTCTTGTATTTCTCAGACTTGACAACTTCTCTAGCAGCAATAGAGCTTTCAGGATGGATCGTTCTATGGAACATGCGTAAGACCTGCATGCCAGACAAAAGGACCAATAAGTTGTATTTGAAGTAATAGGTTCTTTTTTATCCTCAATATAAGACAACAGCAGGTAGTTTGGGAGAAATTATTCGAAGAAGGATTGTTCTCTAATGAAGACATCTAATGGAAACACTACTATTGGGTTTAGATAAACAAGGTTCTGTAGCGGGGTGCTAGGTTTTCCAGGGGTCAGTAAACTGGAAACAACACCTTACTTTGAGTGTGTAGATCATATTGTAAGACCTGGAGATGCTAACAAAGACAATTTTCATGCTACATTTGCTTCTCACAATTAATTTATGTGTCAGTGTTACATTCTTTGTGCGTGCTGAATCCCATAAACAACCATTGATGTTTCTTTGATCTAGATGCTGAAGATCAGATTGACAGCATTGGAGTATCGTGTTTGACTTAGCTGTATGTGGGATGACATTGGTGAAATTATTGCAAGGGAATGATGTATGTGTGTATGTAGTCATGTACATCTGTGTGTGTGTGATGAAGCGTCATCAGATGCGCTGTTCTCGGAAGATCCAGTTATAGGAACCCAACCTTATGGGGTTTCTTCTTGGTTGAAAGAGAATCAGATGCCTCACCACATTTCTTCTTGATGGAAACAGAATCAGTTGCATCACCACCTGAGCTCTTTGAAGAAGCATGGAACTTTTTAATCATCTTCTTCATGAACCCCATGGCAGATTTATGCTTATACTTGACTTCTGTCTCCTCACTTTCACTTTTCTCCTTATAATCAGTTGTGATTTTGGTCCTGTCAAACAGCTCTTGCAGTGATGCCTTTTCTTTCTTTGCTTCCATTGTTTCTGGTAATTCAGTTGAGGACCCAAAGAGATATCCTTTGAGCGGACATGCTGCATCCTTCCAGTACTCTTCATCTTCGGACTCCTCCATTTGCTTTCCATTGGGTGTAACAGAGCTAGCATGACTGTCCCTTGCTGACGATACACGAACCCCTTCTTCCTTTGTCTCAGCATCAAGAAACTTCTCTAGCTCGTATCTGATCAGCTTCAAGTCGTTCTCAGTCACCTCTGCTTTTTGCTGAGTTAAGTTCTCTAAGGTCGTCCCAAAAGTTGGTGTTTCGGGCTCATTGATACCTGACTCTGAGCCAAGAGTTCCAATGGTGAGAAAGCCAGGAAAAAGCTCTGAGATGATAGCAGATGTTTCTTCTTCTCTCTTGGCTTCAGATTCAGAAAAAGATTTTTCTCGGTCCCTTGCAGGTGGCTCCAAGGATGTAGATCTGTATCTGGAGCCAAAGCTTGACTTCATATAGGCATCTTGGTCATCAAGTGATGGCTGAGCTGAAAGGCAAACACAAGGGTTCCCTGAAATTAGTTACAGAAAGAATTAGGTCTGTTACTCACATTGGAAGAAAGGGTTGATACGTGCGTATAAGTACGTCATCTCAGAGGCTGCACGGCTGGCCAAATAAACTGGTCAGTGTGATATGGCTGAATGATTTCATTAGTTAGTATAAGTTGGTCGGCGGTCTTTGGTTCGAATATCGTGAATGGCAAATTCGATACCAAACTAGGTTGTTTATTGTGTGGCTTAGCCGAACTCCCCCTCCCCTTAGTGTAAAAATATCGATGTACTAAAAAAAAAAGTTGGTCAGCGGTCGTGAGGCCACTTGATTTCCAACTTTTTCTTGAGATTCCGAGTTAGTTCTAAACTGCAGCTTAATATATAGTAAAGTCAATGATTATTTGCTAATTTCTGTAACCTGATTATGTGTGAATTATTAGTGCTTAAGATGGGGAAAAGATGAAATGTACGGTGGTAGGAAGCAATACCAATAGTGAGATCCTTGAAAGGCTCAATGCTACCGTGCCGAAATTTGTGGTGCACCCACTGTAATAACTGCATCAATGTAATGCTAAGATAAAGTAAAAAAGATTGAAACATCTCTCGTTCTAAATTTGGTTAGAGTTTACACTTACCTTCATTTTCAGGTGTTGGAGGGCTTGATGTTGATATTGTTTAAGTAAACATTGATGAAAGAAAATATATATAGATTTAGTTTGCAAACAAAGACTGGCTATAAAAAGAGATGTTAGGAGGAGGAACAGAATAACATCTTTTCATGAGGATTTCCGAAAAGCTGTAGACGTCACCAATTGCTAGAAGGGTCCGAGGGTGGTTGAGTAGAGAGAAACATTTAGAAAGATACAAGATTGTAGTTGGCTCTTCTTATCAAGGCCAAATCATGTAGACAAATTGAAGGGTGGTTTGAGTATGCATAAGTATATTAGTAAAGTTGCATGTAAGCTTTAATCAACCCGTAATAATGTTTCACATAAATCTCCATAAACTTGATAAACAATTGTCTTTTGGAGTAGCACAACGATGCACCCGAGGGGAAAAGGGGTGTAAGCAAATCTACCTGTTTCATTGTGAAGTATAGATTTCTGAATATGGTTACGATAAATTACTATTATGTTGCATTCACTTCCAGCGTTATAAGATAGCTTGCAGATCACTGATGTCATTGAACTTTACTTGCATATCACTGATGTCATTGATGCAGCATTAGGGTTGTTTTCTCTCTGTTACTTGTAATAGTCTAAACCTCATGTGCAGGTATAATTTTGACGTTAATAGCTATAGATCGAGGTTTGGATTTGACCAATTGTCTTGTTTATCATTGTCTAAGTATCTTATGGATGGAGGAGGAGGCATCAGGACAAGGTTGCTGGCCCAGAAATATTTGCATGCCCCCACACGCATCTCTGGAAGTTAAGTATTTAGCTTTAGGGAAAGGGTATAGCTGCTGTAGGCTTAGAGACAGTCATAGTCATTAACCATTCGTGCTTACATCCTTGATTAGACCTCATACTGTCTTACAAGTGGGCTCGATAATTACGCAGGGCAGAGGAATGTCGAAGATAAAGGAAGAGTCCTTTACAGAAAGAACATTCATAGTTTATGCATGTAAACCGATTTTATGAATTCGCTTCAAAGCATTGAATATAACTGGTTTTGCAGAAAGTATGTTGATAGTTGCAGAATTTGTTTTGCAACTGCGAGCGATGCATCATGTTAGTCCGGTAGGGCTATATCGGACATTTTGTTGATACGTCATCGATACTGTGTTAAAAATGGACATCCTGCACATGGAACTGAGTATTCTGTAATATGAATAGCTTCTTTGTTTTGTTTTCCTTTTCTGCATGAGATGATTTTGGGACAAGACTGGTGAATGAGTCACCGTATATAATTGAAACCATGATTAATTAATTGAGACAAGCTTACTCAAATCTGTCAACATTCTAACCATTAGTTTTAGGGTATCCCTAGTTTTAGCTACTTTTGGAGGACTAAAGACAGAGAGAATCACTCCCCATTCGACCTTCCATACACCACAACAAACACTTCCAATCCAGTTGAACTTGGAAGAGAGAAAATCTTGTCTCCTTAAGGTCAAGGAGGATCTCCTTCTCAAAATATTTCGAGACCTATTCACAGAACTTAGTGTTTATGATCGAAACCGTTCATATTAGAAGTCACTTTGTAACATCATTCTTGCAAAAAATCAATCAACTAAGGTCGTTAGTCAATGATTTTACAAAATCTGTCAATTTGTTCTTATATAGTTCAATGACTAAACGATCTTGGTTTTATTTGATTTTTTGTAGAGATTATCTTTACATAGTGATGTATAATATGAATATTTCGATCATAAACACGAAGTTCTATTAATAAGCCACAATATTTTAAAGAGGAGTTCTTCGTCAATCCTTGAGGACTAGTCAAGTCTTTCGGATGAGGATCCTCTCCGGATCCTCTTTGTGGGGATCCTAGGAATCCTCACATCCTAACCGTTCATCGTACATCGTACGGCCAGTTTTCGTCAGGTATTATTTATATTTAATTTTAAATAAAAAAAGTCAAATGATTTTTTAATTGTACAATATACGATAAATCGTTAAAATGTGAAGATCCCTAGAATTCTCACAATTTAGATCCTATGTATGTCTTTATTGTTTTTGTATTGGATGGAGTTATTGCACGATCATTACCATCATGTTTGTTCTTATTTGTATGGACCTGTCGCATGATATGATAAGACCCCAACTTAGGGCAGTTGAGCCATCTTAATTTTTTTATTTAGGGGATCAAACCAATTTGGTTTTGGTTTCTAGGCATTTGGATTATCATCGTGGATACCTCAGTGTTGTGGTTGATTGTTGTTGAGTTTCGAAGAAGTCATTGTGGACTTCTTGAATACATTTTTTCTTGTGTTTTCATAACGGAAGAATCAAAACTACCATTTGTGTACCTTTGGGTTACGAAAGACTACTTTCTCTAAGTGCTAATAACAAATCTTCTTAATATTTTCCCAACTTGTAGAATGGGAAAAAAACTATACATCGGAAAATTGAGTGGACCAAAATAAAGGGTCTCATGATTTTATAAGAGCCTCGTTACTTATGACGTTTTTTTCATGAAACCATACCAAGGCTAACAAGGAAAAGACATTCGAAATTGTTGCCCTACCAAGACAACTTTCACACCAAGTGAGACTTTATAGGGCTTGGTGGGACTAAGAGGAATGGCTTACTTATACCCCGAATGCCCCATGTCAACCCGAATAAATGACACATTATCATATATTTTAACTTTCTCACATTGCATTATATCATTAGTTTAAGATGTTACTGTGTAATCCTAAAAACATGAGTAGAGTTTCACCTGAAAAACGGTCAAGTTCAATCCCAAGAGTCTCGGAAAGTCTCTCCTGCAAATGATTTAGTCAAACATCTTACTAAAGTTTTTCTCCCAAGTAAATACTTATAAAACCAAAAAGGGTGATCGCTTCCATTCACCATAGTCATCTAGTGAATTAGTTTACACATTTAGTCTCTCTATTATTACTCTATATGTTTACTTTATAGGTTGTTCCTTATTCGCGTTCATAGTGTACATTATCCATGAACCAACTTAGAGTTAATATTTTTTATATTAACTAAATGATATGAAAATTGATGATTAAATTATTACTTAAACGTTAATAAATATGTTCATTTATATTGGTGACACATCATTTAGTTCGAAAATTTAGTCTAAAAATTCAATCTTACTAACATTACTATATCAAAATACAATGACTCAATGAGCATGAAGGGGAGACACGCAACATATTTCAATTGGACCAAGCAAAATTTACCCATGGCCGGATTGGTTGGATAAATTGATTTTCAATTCAAAACGGCTCCGTAACCTTTCTCCCAATTGGATCATCTCCGGATACTTTTGATAAGAATCATGAAGATCGTGTTCAGTATTTATCAAATATTATTTATGTTTAATTTTAAATAATTTTTTACTGTACGAAGAAGATCCGGAATCACCTTTCTCTCTTGACAACAAAATCTCCAGCTACCTCTCTGCAACTGCACGCCTTCTCCACGCGCCATCCCCTGAAAAATCCATTGACCTCGATTGAACAAAAAAATCCCAATTAATATCCCAGCAATCCACACCGTCTGATCATCTCTCGCAGTCATGGGGACCGAATCATCAGCAGCGTCCGTGGAGATATCTGAGCCGTTGCTTCACAATTCCGACGACAAAATCAAGGCCGTAGAGTCCGACGACGACGACCGAATCCCCGAATGGAAGGACCAGATCACCATCAGAGGGCTGGTCGTCAGCGCCGTGCTCGGCAGCCTCTTCTGCATTATCACCCACAAGCTCAATCTGACGGTCGGGATTATCCCCTCCTTGAACGTCGCCGCAGGGCTGCTCGGGTTCTTCTTCGTCAAATCATGGACTGGCTTCTGGGGAAAATTAGGGTTTTCAGTTACCCCCTTTACCAGGCAGGAGAACACCGTCATCCAGACCTGCGTCGTTGCCTGCTATGGCCTCGCTTTTAGCGGTAAACCTAATCACTTCTGTTCCGTTCCGTTCTTCACTAATTAGTTTTAATCGCATCCCTAATTAACTGATTAGCTAGTTCTTAGCTCTTATTCTTCGTCTTTTGTTAGTTAATTTTGATCTCAGTCAAGGAAAATTGGTGTTTGTGTAATCATATAGTTTGTAAATGTGAAATGAATTGGCAGGGGGGTTCGGTTCGTATTTGCTTGCCATGGATGAGAGAACATATAATCTAATTGGTACTGATTACCCGGGTAATCGGGCGGAAGATGTTATCAATCCGAGCTTGTGGTGGATGAGTGGTTTCCTGTTTGTTGTCAGCTTCCTGGGCATTTTATGTCTCGTTCCGCTTCGCAAGGTGACTACTTTTTCTGTGGATATGGATATCTTATGGTTGCTACCCATGTGTTTGACCTTGTGCTAATACTGATGTTAACTTTCTAACTGAATTCTGCATTGGTTCTGGCATTTACACCGATAGAATTGTCTTTTTTAAGTTGCTATTGGCATCTCAATTCATTTCGCGAATGTTATAATCATTAGACCCTCTGATAGAAACAGTTGTTGCTTGATGTATGTTCATTGGCTAGGACGTTTTGATGGCAGAAGGTTAACGTGCCCGTTGGCTACCTATTATGGTATTTGTTGTATACTTGTCTTTTGTTAATGTATACTGTCTCATCTTTATTAATCTGATATCAGGTTATGGTCATGGATTACAAACTAACATATCCCAGTGGGACAGCCACAGCAATGTTGATAAATAGCTTCCACACTAAGAGTGGAGCAGAGCTTGCCGGGTAAAGTCTATGTCTCAACCTTTTGATGTGTTTTATAGTAGTGCACTACTGCACTTTGCTTCCACCGAAACTGGGAAACTGGTTATTCTTTCCACTCTAAATAGTTGGTCTGAAAACTCCTTAATCCCTTTGTATCTATTTTTATTAAAATGGATGAATTCAAAATGAATCTTTTAAATTAACACCGTCATAATCTTACTTTGCAGGAAGCAAGTTCATGCTCTAGGGAAGTATTTAAGTATAAGTTTAATTTGGAGCTGCTTCAAGTGGTTCTTTAGTGGTATTGGAGATTCATGCGGATTTGACAATTTTCCTAGCTTTGGTTTGACACTGTTTAAGAACACGTAAGGCTATTGGTTCTTTGGTTGTCTTCATGATTCTTCTCTTCATTCTCGCTCCCCTTCACATCCACATCCTTTCCACTCTTTCACCACTTGTTTATAAGTTGAGAAAGTGGCAAACACTACTTGGTGGAGCTAGTGGGGATCCTTTCTTTTTTATTATTTTCATACCCATTTTATGAT